TATTTATTCTTTTTTGTCTCTTTTATGTATATCTTTTTGCCACGAGATTGAAAATTTTGGGTATTTCTTTTCGTTTCTATGACTGTTGTGTGATTATTATTATTATTATAACAGCTTTAAGGCCACACTGCACTGTTTGGAAGATCCTGTTTGCATGTCCTTCAACCATTATAGGCTTTAACTGAGGCCTTCCACCACCACGAAACTCTCTCTCTCTCTCTCTCTCTCTCTCTCTCTCTCTCTCTCTCTCTCTCTCTCTCTCTCTCTCTCTCTCTCAACTCTGTGGTTTTCTTTTTGGCCTGCTTTCTTTATACCCTCTCTCACGATTGCTTTCTTTCTTTCTTTCGCTCGCTCGCTCACTCGCTTTTATCTCTCTCTCTCTCTCTCAGAAGTGGCAGATGCTTATTGCCAGCCGTCTCTACGCCTGTAGTCTCTCAGGGCACGTCTTGCTGATATATCCCTTCACTATAACTCTGAACTGATAACACACTCTCTCTCTCTCTCTCTCTCTCTCTCTCTCTCTCTCTCTCTCTCTCTCTCTCTCTCTCTCTCTCTCTCTCTCTCTCTCAGGTTTATCTACCCATCATTAATAATAATAATAAAAAACATGTACCTTGGTCTGCTTGCCTGTAAAAAAGCTTGCCTTTAAAAATAATAATCAAAAAATTCAATAAAGTAAAATAAATAAATAATAAACTACTAAGACTTTCAATAAAAGAAATTTATATACTTGCAGCTTGACTGTTGTGGCTAACCAAATCGATCAATTAATTCACCTTTCGATTAATACTTACCTTAATGATCTATATGGTGGTGATGCAAGGGATTTTTTACTTAAAATATACAGTATATATATATATCTTGTTAGCAGTATTACATGTTGTATTATGTGGTAATGATAAATAACACAGTAATTCGGTATATATATATTTGTATACTTAGTTGTTTTGGATTATAAATAAGGGTTGGGGGGTAGAGTTGCTTCAGTAAATAATAATGGTTGCACTGTACTAATATAAAGATAATTTATTTATTTATATATATATATATATATATATATATATATATATATATATATATATATATATATATATATATATTTTTTTTTTTTTTTTTTTTTTTTTTTTTTTGCGGGGGGTGGGGTGGGTGGAAGAGGATAGGTTTTATAGAATGATTTAGTTATAAAATAATTAATGCTTGTTATGTGATCAATCAGAAGAGTGTTTTTTTTACCTGTTAACACCTGGCGGGTCATTATTCATAGGTTTAAGAGGTCATATATCAAGCGTTCAAAGTTGACATAATACTGTGTGTAATAATAATGATAATAATTAACGGTTTATTGAAAAAGTTCTGCAGCCCGAAGGCTGAAAATATACATTGGACATAAATGACTTATTACATACATTGGTGGTTTAACAAATGCCTTCATTAGAGAAAGGTAAAGGAACATACAGTGAACATACAGATTAATGTAGGTGTTGAACAGCAAACACGTAGTGTAGTAACTCCCTCACATATGGTGTTATGAGGGACCTGATGTGGTGTAGTAATTCCTTCACAGATGGTGTTATGAGGGGCCTGACGTGGTGTAATAATTCCCTCACAGATGGAGTTATGAGGGACCTCACGTGGTATAGTAATTCCCTCACAGATGGTGTTATGAGGGACCTCACGTGGTGTAGTAATTCCCTCACAGATGGTGTTATGAGGGACCTCACGTGGTGTAGTAATTCCCTCACAGATGGTGTTATGAGGGGCCTCGTGGTCATAGTAATTCCCTCTACAGATGGTGTTATGGGGACCTCACGTGGTGTAATGAATTCCCTCACAGATGGTGGCCTTGAAATTTACCTCACGTGGTGTAGTAATTCCCTTGCAGGTGGTGTTATGAGGACCTCACGTGGTGTAATAATTCCCTCACAGATGGAGTGTTTATGAGGACTCACGTCAGCATAATATTCCCTCACCAGATGATGGTGTTGCTCTTGAGGGGCCTCGTGGTGTAGTAATTCCCTTGCAGGTGGTGTTATGAGGGACCTCACGTGGTGTAGTAATTCCCTCACAGATGGTGTTATATGAGTGAGGTGTGGTCCCAGGCCTTCCTATCTTAGACCGATTAACACATCACTGGTTGTTGTTGGGTCTCACGGGCCGTTATCACTGGGTACCTGGGACCTCACTGTGTGAAGGTTAACTTGGGTATGACTCGGCTGTTGCTGTTGAATTGTTCTCACTGACTTAAGCACTGTTCACCACTGTTCAACACTGGTTCCATTCCTTTCCTAAATGAAATTGTAACTTCTGGCGAGAACTTATTGATATTCCCGTGGGGAGGAGGGTTCAGGGGAGGGAGTTGGTATGGGCCAACTTAACAGTTGACGTGTGTGTGTGTGTGTGTGTGTGTGTGAAGAAAGCTTGTATGGTCTATTTATAGGCCTTAACGTCAATGTCAACTAACTTTGACCTTCTGAACAAAAAAAAATAAAGAATAAATAAAATCAGGTGGAAAGGAAAAGTTTACTTTGGTATGGCACTGATTGATAAGCCTATGAATACACTTTAAACATTTTACACACACACACACACACACACACACACACACACACACACACACACACACACACACACACACACACACAGGACCAAAATAATAGTATCGTGTTAACTGAGAATCCCTATATGACATTTCAACTGTATATATATACTGTACACATGGGGATAAGAGAGTCACATGTACAATACGATCCCTGCATTACTCGCTAGGCCACAATAAGCAATCAGAGGTGACGTGAATAATGTGAAAGTAAAGTTGTTTTGACAGTCACAGTAAAATGACCCTAGTAAAAGTGAGACAATGTTCCCCAGGTCAGGTTAGGTTAGTTTATTTACATCAGGTTATTCTGGGTTATTGTGGGATGTCTTTATGCTGACTATTTTTTGCTAAAAAAAATAATCCCTAGTATTTTTTTTTTTACTATGTTGAATGGCTTCGTAACAAATGGCGAAATGTGGCCAAGAATAATTGTTTTTCTTTTCGTTAGTTTTACTTCCATTTATCACGTGATTTCCATAAATATTATCCACTTTTATACGAACAATTCAATTAATATATTGAAATGGGAATCTAGTTATAACTAAAGAATACTGTGATCCCGATGACACACACACACAGTCGCCGTTGGTACTTCGGTTATAAAATTTAATATAAACTAAAAAAACAAAAAAAAACAAGAGCGCTTCATTTCTTTACCCCTAAGAGATCTAACCATTACCCCGTATATATGTGTATATCCCCTGAATCAGTCAATGGTCAGCTCCTGGTCTTGCCGACTCCCACAGAGAGTCAGTTTACCCTTAGTAGAGATATAGTGGAATCCCTAACAGCCCCCAGGAAGAAGATGCAGTCTGCTCTTTGTACGGAGGGAAAAAAGACTCCTCTCCCTCCCTCCCTCCCCCTCCCCGAGTACACATACGCCTGGACCCTCTCAGTGGTGTGAGTTCATCGTCGTTGGGGATATATTGTTGTGTTCTTCCCCGTCTTGTAAATGTTGTTGTAGTATTTTACCTTTACGTGTTGTATACAAAAGAATGCAGACTGTTACAAGAACCCCTGACAGAGAAGGACACGGGATATAACTCAATGGTTGTTGTTGTTATAATGTTATTACTGTGCTTCAACAACTAAAGTCTTTAAGCGTGGAACAAGATTAGTAATTACACTAATACATCACTCAGTTGTGTCGTCAGCTTACACCACTAAGAGGAGTCCAGAATATGGTCTCCCTCTGTAATAAGTTTGGAAAGTTTAATGTCCGTCTTGTACGTTAGTGGAACAGATTACAGCAGTGATGCGTAGTCGTCAACCCTGGCCGTGTTTCACCTGTTGGTAAATTAATTATCAACAATAACAGAATGTATTATACATTGCTGAGTGGGGATAAAGAGATTATAAGAATCAGATTAACCAATAACGGCACATAATTCAGTAAATTAGGCGGGGCTAAGATCCAGCATAAAAAAATTAACCAATAAGAACGTGCATCTAAAATTATCTTTTTTCTCTAGTTAGAAAACATAAAAATCATTTATCACAAACTAAAAAATATCGCTATTTGAAACCATTTCTTGTTTCTGCAATAATGTTGTCTTGTGTTTACAGGTTAAAGAGAAAGAAAGGTTCTATATTCCAATCCATACAGTCTCTCCAGAAGAACAGTGCCAAGGTAAGACTCCCGGGCAGGACACCGTAAGTACAGTGACTCGCTCTAATATCTTCCAGGTCAACCTTTTATTCATAATAGCAGGTCAAATTAGTCAGTCTTAATTGGCTCCAAGCTATTCAAACTTCACCTTACCTGACCTAACCTAACCAAGCCTATTCTCACCCAAATTACTTTAATTCAACCCAACCTAAATCACCCTAAGGTAGACATTACTCTTAAGGCCAAATAGGGCAATTAGAACTATGGCCCACATCACTAGTCTTCCACACACGTAGTAAATATTCCTCCATGTATATATTAGTTTACTAACCTAACTCTATTTCCAACACTAAAAGGGGCTGAGACGAATGTATACCAGTAAGAGAAGGAGTTAGTATATTTTTTTCTATGTCATATATTCAAGATTATCAAACAGAATCATTCCTCCATGACGTGTGTATAAGTGTAAAGTACCTTAAGATTTTAATGCCTTGGATTCCTTATATATCGCTGTTATAAAGGTTCAAATACCCCAAGATAACAGAATCGTTTATTGTTTAGTTTTTATAAGAAACTCTGATAAACACAAAATGTAAACATACGCTTTTTTCCCCCGTGATATAAGAGTTTATTAAGTTGTTCATTATTTCCCTCCATCATCAATACATCTGGTCATTCGTAATTACTCAGAGGAAATGTTAGTAAGTGAGGGTTTAAGTGTTTAGTGTTTACTTGTATTAATCTGTAATGTGATTCCCACTTGGGTTAATTACATGCATTACAACGAAGTCTATTTTGTTTTTTGTATTACTTAGCAAAATTTCCTCCTCTCCAATGAACTCCTTACAACCTTCCTGTACTCCCACATAACTCATCTTAATCCTTCCCTCTCCCGCAGTTCTCAGCCAAACGGGACGCATGCGACGAAAAGTCCGCAGGAGCCCGCAACGACTACCTCCTAAGCCTGGCCGCTGGCAACGCTCATCAGAGACGTTACTATGAGATCGACTTTGAAAGAATTCTAAGGGTGAGTGAGTGAGTGAGTGAGTGAGACATTCTTAAGAGACATAACAGTAAATCGTGATGTTTGATAATTAATTGTACAGTAATTATTTGTCGATTATCTAATAGTTACAGTGATAGGTATAATAGTCACAGTAGTAATTATACGTGATTATGGATAATTGTCATTACTGAAAGCGATATAATTATCTTTACTTGAAACAAATAATGAAAAACAAAATAGGTCTCAATTGTCTGGCAGTACACTCGGCCATTTTCACTTCCCTAGTTGAAAAGTAACGTGTGCCATTTGACAGCTGTATGGGTCGGAATTGCATGTTCTACCCTGAACTCTTACCAATAACCCTTTACTTTATTCAAATTTACACATAAAAACAAAAAAAATCTATAATAATGATATTTTATACAATGCTGTCAAGAGTTATTTGAGTTATACAATGCTATCAAGAGTTATTTAATTTATACAATGCTGTCAAGAGTTATTTGATTTATACAATGCTATCAAGAGTTATTTAATTTATACAATGCTGTCAAGAGTTATTTGAGTTATACAATGCTATCAAGAGTTATTTAATTTATACAATGCTGTCAAGAGTTATTTGATTTATACAATGCTATCAAGAGTTATTTAATTAAGATGTCTATATGTCTGTTTGATGATGATGTTTACAGACGATGGAGTGTGATATGTACGATAAAGTAGCGGATTACCTTACCTTGATGAGCCGTACGGAGCTACTCACTTGTTCTGCCTCCCAGTCCTCCTTCAACAAGATCAAGGAACAGGCTACTACAGTGAGTTGATTGATCTTCTGTATGATACCTATATGTTATTGATCAAGTACCCAAGTCCTTGATCAAGTACCCGAGTCCTTGATCATGTTCTGTTTGCCTTTACTCCTCTCTTGAGACTATAAATTGTCAACATAATTCAGAGAAATTTCATTCTATTCTAAGGTGAAAGTTGTGAAGATTATGTCATCACCATTCATTATCATCACCAGTCATCATCATCATCTTCTTCATCTTCATCATCACCAGTCATCATCATCATCTTCTTCATCTTCATCATCACCAGTTATCATCATCATCATCATCATCATCATCATCATCATCATCGGACCTATAACATTTACTGAACATTCACTAATACAATATCCTGGCGCCATCTATCCATTTAACCCTTTGCCAGTTTTGTTTTTCCTTATGTCATGGGATCCAGTCATTTATTTTCTTATTTCGTGGGATCCAGTCATTTATTTTCTTATTTCGTGGGATTCAACCTTTTATTTTCTTATTTCGTGGTATTCAATCATTTATTTTCTCATTTCGTGGTATCCAATCAGTCACATCTCACACTCACTGCCCCCCCTCCCTCTCTTCCAGGTGACCCGAGGCTACAACTTACGCTGCTACCTGACCTTCTACCCCATGTTGGGTCAGAATATACAGTATGACTTTGAACCTTGTGATAACGACAAGATCGAGAAGGTCAGCATCCACGACGAGAATACCCAAGGCATCCTGGAGAACGAGAGTAAAAAGTGTGTCGCCCTCATCCAAAAGGAGACCAAGGTAAGTATGAGGGTGAGGTGGGGATGAGGTCAAGGAGGAGGTCAAGTAAGAGGTCCAGGTAGGAAGAGGTCAAGTAGCACGCTTAGTCTCCCTGGAAAAAAGTTATTGATTCATTATAATTTCCCTGATTTTACAATTACACTTACTCTCCCTGGAAAATAAATTTAACTATTACACTCACTCTCCCTGAAAAATAAATTTAACCATTACACTTACTCTCCCTGCCAGGTGGTGAGGGACGCGACCAGGAAGATACAGAAACTAGGGGTGGCGGGGAGGCCTGAGACGGACCTGCCCCCAGACATGGAGATGAAGCTGGATGAACTGCGGAACATCATCAGGAAAGCAGAGACTCACAGGGCGAAGGCGGAGGCTAAGTTAGAATCTCTCAAGGAAGGCGGCTGTAAGTTCCCTTATTAGGTGATATTCCTTTACTCTGTGAGGGGGTGGGTGGGTGAGGGGGTGGGTGGGTGCTTAAGACATATAGGAAAAAAAATACCACTTCATGTCTTGCTTCATTTCGCCCACCCAGGCAAGTGACGGGTAAAAGTCACTCGTCAGAATCAGTTCGACGTTCGCCAGAAATGTTTAGCCTAAAAAAAGAAAGATTTCATAGTTTTGTCATCAATCCTCTGTTAATTCCCCTGTGAAGGATCGTTGACATTGTTCGTTTACCAAACTGCATCACTCACACTCTCGAGGCTGGCGAGATAGGACACACACACACACACACACACACACACACACACACACACACACACACACACTCTCTCTCTCGCTAAGTTGAGCAAATATAACGTGAGTTCTGGCCACCTGACCGTGAACATTCCCATAGTGAAACAGAGTCTAGCCCTTAATTTCACTCTTATTCTGTGTATGTGTGCAAGGGAGAGAGAAGGATGATATGAATTGCTTTATCAACTCTTGGGAAATGTATTTTAAAAAGGGAAGGAAGTAAATATAATATTAGGTTTATATACAATTCTTACCGCTGACATTTGGAGTTTAAAAATAACATTCCAACATGCGATTCCATTTCATATCAGACAGAATTTCTAACAGCTGGTGGTGATATATTATTTAGTGATAACATCTGGAACTTTAGAGACAGGATTTGATATTGGATTATTTGGGCTAACACTTGTAATTGATAGTTGACAGTCTAGTTGTATATATGTGTGAAAAACTATATATATATATATGTATATATATATAGTATATATATATATATATATATATATATATATATATATATATATATATATATATATATATATATATATATATATATATATATATATATATACAGTATATAATGGTATTTTTATTATTAATGAATAAATTGATCTCATGAAGATATAGAATCTCAGCTTATATCACCTGATGATTAAACACGCTAACCTAACCTAACCTAACCTAACCTAACCTAAGCCCCATTAAGAATTAGGGTGTTCACTGTTCAATCTTCATGTGAAATAAGCTGGAGTTTCTAAAAATCATTAGACCCGAAAAATCTTCAATATAATAAAGACATAATTAACATTTATATCGTTCCACAGTCCAAGTGCTGTATTAACATGACAGGAAACTGATGACAATATCTCTCACTTGACAGTCGAGGTGGAGGACTACACGAAGAGCCTCGACAGTGACAGTCTGGGGGTCGACCTCGATACTTCCCTCAGCCGTTCAGGATCCACGCTGTCCGTCAGGGAGGAGGTCAGTTACTGCTCAAGGGTCATCTTTTTGGTCATGGGGGGTCAAGGAGGAGGTCAGTTCACTTCTCACATTAGGTTTCTTAACCCACACCCTAGAAACCCACACCCTACTGACCCACACCCTACTGACCCACACCCTACTAACCCACGTCCTACTGACCCACACCCTACTAACCCACACCCCACTAACCCACGCCCTACTAACCCACACCCTACTAACCCACGCCCTCCACCCCGCCCTACTAACTTCCACCCCAACCCACACCCTACTAACCCACACCCACAACTCACACCCTACTAACCCACACCCCTACTAACCCACGCCCTACTAACCCACGCCCTACTAACCCACGCCCTACTTACCCACACCCTACTAACCCACACCCTACTAACCCACACCCTACTAACCCTGCCCTACTAACCCACGCCCTACTAACCCACATCCTACCAACCCACGCCCTACTCAACCCACACCCTACTAACCCACACCCACGCCCTACTAACCCACGCCCTACTAACCCACACCCTACTAACCCACGCCCTACTAACCCACGCCCTACTAACCCACGCCCACCCACAGGGAGAGCCAGCAGCCGGGGAGTTAGACGGTGAACAGGTGGAGTCTGATGCATTGACCTCAACCTCAGCAGCTGAACCTGTGTCTGTAGACTCTGAGAAGGACGACTACATCATCCAGCAACCTGACGATGGTAAGTCTCTCTCTCTCTCTCTCTCTCTCTCTCTCTCTCTCTCTCTCTCTCTGCAGTTCCAGAAAAATGGTCACTCATTTTTTTCTGTATTTATAGATTGCATTACAAATTACAACACATTACAACACCTCTGAGAAGTTATGGCATTATTTATCGTTATTTACTGCATAAAATAAATGAATGAAATATATAGAGGGAGGCGTGGTTTTGTTTACATAACCACATGTTTACCCGAGCGCTGTTGCCGTATTTTAAATTTACATTTATTATCTCTCTTCTCGCAGTTATTCCCTTTCTTAGTTACACCCAGCCATCTTTACGTGGGAAGGGTTTTACTACACATTTTTACATTCCGTGTTGTGTTTGGTGTCTTTCACGGTACACTACCGTCCTAAGGATGCCGAAAAGGACGAATGAGAGAATGTGAAAATTAGTCACATGATAGCCACAATATTTACCCCTACCGGTTGAATATACCTGTAAGGTACGCAGTGAAACCCTGGCGGAGAGCGTGACTTTGTGTCGCTGTCAGCATGCCATTTCGTCACCTTCGGTCAGCCCCTGGAGTGGACGAAACACAGATCTAGGTGATAAAGGAGGTGGGAACGTGATTTGTATTCGGCTAAGACTCTTATTCAAGAAATCCTTGGATCAAGGTAAAGCGCCTTGGGACTGGGAATCAGCCAACGCCAACCCAGTTTACAAGAAGAGTAGGAAAAGTGTAGCAGAAAACTACAGATCGATCAACCTAGCATCACATATATGCAAACTCTTTGATAAAATTCCGACCGAGCACAGTCTTATCGAGGCATCACAACACGGTTTCATGGAAAGAAATTCCTTCCTGACACTCACGTTCCTTGAAACGGTAAGAGAATATGTGAACCGAGGCTCACCAGTAGATGTATTGTACATGGATGTCTCCAAGATGTTTGACAAAGTCCCACGTGCACGACTGGCCTCTTCAGGTCCAGGCACATGGCATCACACACAAGATTATGACGTGGATTAATAACTGGCTCGAAGACAGGAACAAAGATTGGGACTAAATGAAGTACATTCTGAATGGAAGAAGGTTCTCAGTGGAGTAACAAAAGTCTCTATCCTTGGAACCACATTGTTTGTGATCTACATAAAAGACAGGTGAAAATATATCAAGCTACATTGTCAAGTTTGAGGACGACATGAATATATTTGGGAAGGTAGCAAGTCAAGACGATGTCGCAACAATGCAGAAAGTCCTGATAAGCTAGTCAGATGATCTCGAGACTGGTAAATGCTCTTTAACATTACGAAATGCAAGACCCTACATGTAGGATACACCCATCCTTAACACAACTAGTCTATTAATAACACTGTCTATAAGGAGAAAGATCTTGGGGTTGTGATAGATCATCCACTAAAGGCGGCGCAACAAGTGAGGAAAATAAAACGAGATTTTAAATTATAAAGTGTACCTTTAAATGTTCATTCAACTGTGCAAATCTCAAATACGTCCCAGTCTGGAATACTGTGTACAGGCATGGAAACCCTACCTCCAAAACGATCTAACGTCCCGAAAAAGGTGCAACACAGAGCGACTAAGATGACTCCGGAACTATGTCATCACGATTATCCAAGAAGACTGAGGGCCTTAAGACTATCAACCCCACAGACAAGGCACAATAGGGCAGATCTTATTAAAACATTAAAAATCCTGAAAGTGTACTGTACGATACAGACGTTAGTCACTGGTGCTGGTGGTCGGCAACACACACCCTGACCACGCAGCTCTGAGAGGTCTGAGCTACATCAGCCAAACAATGCATGAACTATCAGGTACCGCAGTAAGCAAATATACAAGTAAACACACCTACCTACACACACATACACACACCTACCTACACACACATACACACACCTACCTACACACACACACACACACGCAACTATAAAATTAAAAATATAAAATAAATAAAAATGATTTGTATCGTAACAAGTCTGCAGGCAGGTTCCACTAATTCAGGGCCACACGGGTCTAGGAACAGATATACAGTTATGTTTATGGGTAAACGGCTGCTGGATAGCTCGGCTGTCTGTGTAACCGTTCCAAGCTTCAGAGACAACCAGGTTATTTAACTAGTGACGGCTGAATAGTCACTACGTAAAAAAAGCCTTCTACAGTATTGCATATACACGAAAGTATGAGCGTATGTATGCAAGTATTTACATTTATATCATTGCATGTATCTATGCAAAAGCGTGTGTATGTATGAGTATATGTAATAGAGAGAAGTTGCTGCATCAGCTTTAAATTTGTAATTATGACATCATGGACCCCCCACCCCCTCCTCCCCCCCAGCAGGGAAACTCGACCCGACCTCCTGGGACCCCGTGTCAGTGGACTGGGGTGACGCTCCGGTGTCTCCGCTCCCTCCAGTCACCAATGGACCCCCAGATGACCAGTCCGCCTACCCCAAGTGTACCGTCTTGTATAACTACACCGTGAGTACTCCTTTATACCCTATTTGAGTACGTCTTTACCTTGAGTACAATTTTATAATTATCGTCTTAAGACTACAACTATACCTAAATTAACCAAACCAAACCTAACTTTATAGATGAACACACACACACACACACACACACACACACACACACACACACACACAGGGAGAGACAGTGAGAAAAATGGGTCCTTAATAACCTGTTACTCTTCCAGGCTCAGAACCCAGACGAATTGTCCATCGTGGAGAACGAGGAGCTGGAGCTGATGGGTGAGGGAGACGGCGATGGATGGGTTCAGGCCAGGAACTATAAGGGAGAGGTAGGTCCTTCCAGCCACCCGAAGGTCCTTCTTGACTTGACTGATGGATGTATTATTTATTTTTTTTAAGGGATATATATTTTTTTTCTTCACTGTAGCTAATGACTAGTTCTTGTTCACTCATGTACACTCTTCACTCGTAAAGGCAATATGGTGATGAAATAATCAAGTTTTTGTTTATCATTAGCATTGCCTGAGGTCCTGTTATGTTGTCTTTCGGTGCATAAAAGAAAGACTCTGAAGGTAAGAAACTTAGCCAAGCAGTGGTGTTCACTCCTTTCAAGCTTCTGGTTTACCTAAAGGGTTTTAACTCCATGTAGCGAAATTTTTCTTCTGTTGTAGGTGGGTTTCTACAGGTGGGCTTCATCATCCCCATAACTAACTTTTTTCTCGTCTTTCTACAGGTGGGCTTCATCCCTCAAAACTACATCGAGATAGAGGAAGGAGCAGCACCCTCCGCCGCCAACGCAGACTTCGCCACCTTCCCCGAGCCAGGCACCGAGGATGCCATGACGAGCGAGGTGCCACAAGCCTCCGACACCACCGCCGCGAACGGAGGTCCTCAGAGGGGCATCTCCTTCTCCTCCATAGAGTACAACTTGGAGGTAGGGGCGCCCTCACACAAACACACACACACACACTAGGTTTATCTTTAATTAAGAATTCCCATGGATAATATTTACGATGGTCATATCAGAAGTTGAAAATTGACTCCATAATCTTTGTAGAACCTTGTGTGTGTTGAAAATATATTTATAATGTGTCTATTAGTCCAAAAAATCCGTTCATTACCTGAATTTTTACACTTGTAAGTTCAGAAGTTGAAGGTTAGATCACGATTGGTCATCTTTACATACATAAGCACAAAGGTTCCTAAAACAGTCTGCTTCCAACTGTGAACCCTGGTGTGACCTTTGGAATCGGTGAGACGTAGGATGAATACAATTTCAACACATCAGGTTTTAGATCTACTCCTTGATATGTCCGGGTTGTAATGGGGAGTTCTAACACGAGAGCCCAAGAATTTCATATTTATTCATGGTGGAATTAGCCATAGGTTTAAATATCCCTTATGAAGAAGGTCAGGGTTTGGAATTTGTTGCTGTTGTTGTAGGTTTAGGGTCATATCCTCTGTATCTGGGCGAACTTTGGGATTTTAGCCTATTGGTACAAGATACAGGTTCAAGTTCAATGAAAGGGTAAGGCTGTGTTTGTTCTTAGCTGCTAGAGTCCGTCTGTAAAGTTTGGAATTTCAATGTTGCATCCAGTGTGAGATCATTGGTCCTTTGCTTGTAATAGCACATTTTAATATAATCTTTAAGCGCTCAAAGCATAAATTTTTCAGCTACGTAAACGATAATTTTTTTCACGCCTTTTAGTGTAGTTGAGCAAAGAATATAATATATATTTGTGTGTGTGTGTGTGTCTGTGTGTGTGTGTGTGTGTGTGTGTGTGTGTGTGTGTGTGTGTGTGTGTGTACAGGTAGTTAATAAAAGAAACATTAAAGTCTATTTTGACAATTTACATAACGAAGATTGGGAGATGACCCAAATAACACCTGACAGTTTTGCTTAATGTATGTATGAGTGTTTATACATATATTCTGTAGTATGGCTTTTCCACAGTTAGATTTTAATAGTATTCACAGTAACCGCTTATAATATTTAGTTCCTATACAGCTCTTTGTGATGACGCAGCGTAGTGGTGAATTCAACAGTATACTCACGCTTATGTTGTTGTAAAAATCACTACCTCTCCCTTTGTGATGAATGATGAGTACAAACGTCTACAGTAATGAGATATTCCCCTAACTAGTCATATTCCCGTGTATATTTAGTTATTAATTCATCCCTTATGTTTAGTCTTTGAATTTCTCCTCCCTCTCCAATTCTTCTATTAAAGGAACAATAATATCCTTCAGTTTCTCATAGACAGTCTAGATTCAATTCTCTCAATATCACTTTTCCCTTGCACTCAACCTCTTGCCCTCCCTTCGCGCTTCCACGTCGAAGAAAAATGCCCAATCTCCACTGAAGATATGCGCTAGCTCCTGTAGATGACACCATTACTAGTTACGTGTTACACAAATACAATGCCATCGAAAAAGAATGCCCTAAGTATTAATGTATGACCATTAATATCCCGGGGCATTCTTTTTTGATGGCATTGTATATCTATCAGTGGTAAAATCTCTGAAAGACGGCCCAATTTACAACAGCTGGACTGAAGTAGTAAATCCTGAATGAAAACCAGACTATTTACGTCACCCTATATAGCACCTCTGATTAGATAACCTATTGTTGATGATTTATTTGATAACTTACAAGTTTCTATGATGATTCAATCCACTCTACTGCTCCTGGACTATAGTTGTGGTTTAATGTAGAGTAAGTGTTTGTGTGTTTCCTGGTTCATTCATCAAAGGCGTGAAAGTCAGTAGATTTAATATACTAGTATAGTTAATTAATCAGTAGATTCAGTAATCAGTAGAGTTTTCCCTTGTGTTGCCTGAGTCACTTTTTACTATATACTCTACTGTTTGTATCTAATAATCATCCATCCAGACTGGGTTATTATTATTACTTTACATTTAGTAGTGTATCATGTTTAGGTTATAGTGTTTCGTTAACTAATTTATCTTTTTTATATTAGTTGAATTGCCAGAACAATTATACTTTATATTCATCAGTTTGTCAGCTTCATTCATGAGTCATTATTATGTGGTAATTATGTTTATAATCAAAGTCTAATTAGTCATTAATATTTCCATATATTTATACCATGTGTGAATATAATTAATTTTTTTTCTAATTTATGATATATATTTTCTTTTAAGATTCTTACATATGTCTTTATCTAGAACGATTTATTTGTGTAAGTAAAGTTCTAGATTATCCAATTCATTTTTAGTTTCCTGTTTCATCCTTAAGTTTAATGATGAAACTGGTTTAAGTATTGGCCTTCGGTTTATTTTTAGGGTACAATGAAGGAACTGGTTTTAAGTTGAATTATTGGTTACCAGTTTCAGTCTTATGTTTTATGAGTAAGTTAGTTTAAATATTATGATTGGTTGTCTGTTTCATTATTAACTTTCATTATACATTCATTCTTATATAATTCTACCAGCATTATCGTAAACTGGATTATAGGTTTGTTTTCTTATTATTGTTTGGGGATTTTACTTATATTGAATTTAAGATGAGGTACTCGGATCACCTCAAGATTAAACCCTTTAAAATGAATCACCCTAATGCTAACCTAACCTAACACCAGGAAGCGTTGGGGTGTTTAGTCTTGAAGTGAAATAAGCTGGGGTCTAATATTTAGGTGGTCCAGCTAACTTTAAAGTCATTAATTTCACTTATAATTTATCTTAATTTAAGCGTGTGTTCTAATAATTTGTATAGTATTTTGTAATTTATTTTATAATTGTCTTCATTTAATCTTGAGTTATTAATTTATTGCTACATTTACACTCGTTCAAAAAAATATATATATTTACGGAGGTCCAATGAATTTCAAAATGAACACTGACACGCCTGTTGTCTCGGAAGGGTTGTCAAAATTCTCCGTTCTTTGTGTCATATTGTCTTACACAAAATATTAAAGACAGACATAATCAAAGGTTCGTCCGAAAATTCCCAGCCAGCATTACGTTTCTGTCTATAAATACATTCAGTAGATGTTGCTCTTTCCACCAATGCGTGGAGGCGTCGTCTCGTTTTGACAGGACACCGCGCCAAATGTCAGTGGAAAGAGCGCCACCTCTGCATCTATAAACAGAAACATAATGCTGGCTGGCGATTTTTGGCGAACTTTTGATTTTGTCTGTACGAATAACTCATGTTTATTCACTCCCTTCTTAAGTTCATCTATATTTATTTCACTTCTTTATTAAGTCATTTGTGTTGGTAAAATTAGGAATTATCAAATCTGTTTTTTTTTGTTCCACGTTTCCTTCTGATTTTTTTGCTGACGTAACATTTGAGTAGATAATATTATTAAGTATCAGTTTAATTGATAAGTTTCTTGTTTCATTCAGATGTTTTTACTTCATTCATGGCGTTTCTTGTGTTTCATCGTAAGTTTCTGGTTTCATTATTAAGTTTTATTTCATTATTAGTACCCCATTTCATTTTCAAGTTCCTTGTTTCATTTCTAAGTTCCTTGTTTCGTTTTTAAGTTCACTGATTCATTTTTAAGTTCACTGATTCTTTTTTAAGTTCACTGATTCATTTTTTAAGTTCACTGATTCATTTTTAAGTTCACTGGTTCATTTTTAAGTTCACTGGTTCATTTTTAAGTTCACTGGTTCATTTTTAAGTTCACTGGTTTATTTTTAAGTTTACTGGTTCATTTTTAAGTTCACTGGTTCATTTTTAAGTTCACTGGTTCATTTTTAAGTTTACTGGTTTATTTTTAAGTTCACTGGTTCATTTTTAAGTTCACTGATTCATTCCAAAGTTCACTGATTCATTCTTAACTTCACGAATTCATTCTCAATTACACTGATTCATTCTCAATTTTATTGATTCATTCTCAAGTTCACTGATTCATTCTCAAGTTTCCCGCTTCATTCATCTTTTTTTTTAATGAGATGTTTTTCTTATTTTATTCATTAGGATTCTGAATCAGTCATAATTTCTCTTGTTCACTCATTCATTTTCTGAATCAGATGTACCCTGATTCGTTCTTAAGCTTTCAGAATCATTCACAAGTCTATTTTGTACGAAAAAACATTTTAAACGCATTCATAAGTACATTTTCAACAAGTTAACATTCGAGTTACACTTATAAACACACTTGCTCATTCAACATTTATTTTTTAAACGAATCAACATTTATTCCTCATTCATAAGTTTATTTTGTGTACGAGTTAACATTCTAGAGTCATTCCTACGGTGGCACTGTGCCTGAATACGTGTGTTTGTGAATGCTTCCCCTGTGCTGAATCCACCTCCCTCCCCTCCCCTCTGTCTTCCCCGCCAAGACGGAGGAGGAAATGGCAGCCCCGGTGTCTTTCTCGTCAATGGATTACAGTTTCGAGGTGGGCACAAAACGAACAGCAAACGCTACACCCTGACCACAGCTTGATAGTTTGAGTGCAAAGCTTAATTGTAAAATAAAAATCCCCACCTGTCCCATGCCCACCCACCCCACCCACCCCACTCCACCCACCCCACTCCACCCACCCCACCCACCCCACTCATCTCGCCCCCACAACAAACCACACTTTACCCCTACCAAGCTTAATAGCTCAGTACAGATTTAGCTAATGATCAAACTTAGCTGAGAACAAGCTGCGCATGGTTTAGATTCTTAGCTTTGGTTGGTTGATTGGATGTATTGGCCAAGTTTTGCTCAGCTTGATTTAGCTCAGATCAAGCTTAGCTGAGATCAGACTTAGCTTGAATGGAGCTTAGCTCAGATTAAGTGCTTGGTTAAGAGACTGGCTCAGCTTGATAGGGCGTGCTGATTACGATTCGACGCAGTTAAGCATAACTCAGGTTAAGTTTATCTAAAGATCAACCTCATTTTGGATGAAGCTCAGCTTAGATTAACTTCGATCATGCTTAACTCAGATAAGGCTGATCCTGGATGATGCTTTGCTAAAATCAGCCCAAAGAATGTTTAATTCTACTGAAACTTATCTCAAACTAAGCTTCCATCAGGTTATATCATCTCAGATAAATTAATCTTAGGTAAAGTTTGGTTCGTTTCAGCTTCGCACATATGTAGCTAAGATCGAATCAGCGTAGCTCAGATCAAGCTTATTTCAAATTTGTCTTTACTCGTTGAAGCTTAAATGAAATCATTCTTTATCTGGATGAAACTTTACCCGAGATCCATTGTAGATAAATTTATGCTTAGTTCAAATCATGGTCAACTCTAATTAAGCATAACTCAGAACAAAATTAGCTCAAGGCAAGCTTAGTTAATATCAATCTTTGATCAGGTAAATTTAAGCTGAGATTAAAATTTACGGTGATCCCAACAAAACTAACTAAGATCTACTTTAGCTCCGTTCAATATTAACTGATACCAAGCACTTTGTTGACTCCAAGCTTAGCTGAGATCAAGCTTTGTTGAGATTAAACTTAGCTGAGATCAGGTTTGGGCCTGGCCAAACTTGGTAGAAATAAATTTTGGATCAGATCAAAATTAGCTGAGATCAAGCTTGGATCAAAGCTCAACTGAGACCAAACAGAGCTTAGATCAACCGTAAGACCAAGCATAAACTGAGATCAAACGTAGCTATCAATCAAACTTAACTGAGATCAAGCTAAGCTGATCTGAGTACATGTAGCCACTTGAGTGTTGCTTCACCCTCCTGGACCCTTAACTAGTAGAGTGCTCACCGCCTCACACCACCTGACCTCACCACCTGACACTCCACCCAGCTGGTTGATCACATAATCCTGATCACCATTGTTGATCAGTTAATCTCAAAATTACAGAAGAAATACCTGATCCCCTGAGGTGATCAAGAATAGACAAATATATGATCAGGTATTCTAAAAATTACTGAACAAAATTCGAAAACAAAATTCAAGGCCAAAAAAAAAAAGAAAATCCAAACGAATCTAAAACCAAATAAAGAGGAATTTTTTTTCGGGGGGATTGTGTCTAAACTAACCCACTGTAACCTTTCTGACGCGGAGTAAGAAATTAACTAAGGGTTCAAACCAACCATCCTATTATAAATATTTTATTTGTTTGGCTTATAACGCTAATCCCTGCCTCTCTAATCTCTGAGCTACAATAAAAGAAAGTTTAATTATATCTTCCAACACTTCAGGATGCTGTAGAGGGTTTAATAAGCTGATGTGCTTTTGTTTTGTCTGTTTATCTTTTGTGGAGTTCCAGCCGTTACCATGTTTACGTTTCCGTCTCATCCACGCATTTATCTTCGTGTGTTTCAGCCGCTTTCTTCACCTCTACAGTTCTTTGTTGGATAATCTGTTCCCTTGGCATAATAATTATTTTGTGTTTTAATTATCTATGGTGAGTCGCTTCACTGCCTGTGACGGTCGGGTCTAATTACTACCGAACCCCTGCGAACCCTGAACCCACCTGAACACCGAACGCTTGGCTGTGATAAATGAAACAAAATTTTTGAGTAATTAAACCTGGCTTTTTCTGATATATAATTTGTCTATTTACCTATATATAATAATAAAATGCATTAAACTATCAGTGTCTCAAATCTACGAGAATTTTTGTGTCATAGACATATAAACTAAAAAAAAATTCAGGTTTTATTAATCCAAAATATGACTCCGTTTATCATAGCGAGAGGTTCGGGGTTGGTGAGGGTTTAGGGGTTCACCAGTCAGTGTCAGACAAGGCCGCCTGTGAACAGTTGTGTAGAGCGAGACCCATGAACAGTAGTATCATAAACCAGCCAAGCGGCCCTGATCCTCTGTATGTGCTTTCTGAACCTCTTCCGAACATAGATTAAAACATTTCCTAGTTACAGTACTTATAGCTTATAAAAAATTTACTTATAAATATTTTAGTGAGTTAAATATTATAAACTTACTCATGAATTTTTTAGTTGCTTTTAGCCTACATGAATTTACTTATAAATTCCTTAGTTATTTATAATTATCAAAAACTTTCTAGTAACTTAAGTTCTTTATTGCTACGAATCTTGTCTAATGAATTTCGTAATTACTTATTTTATATGCATCATGAAAGCCCCCCCCCCCCCCCTACCTTCTTTATAGTCCCGTGACAGGTATGAGGCGCATGACAGCATAACACCACATAACTGTACTTGCTGTTATTATATAATCTTTCAATGACGCACATATACATCTTGACTATTATTCTGTGTTTATGTGTGTGTGTGTATTGCACTTTGTTTCTTAATTTCACAAGATGCACAGGTAAGTGAAGTACACAGTAAAGGTTTTTGGCTTTCCTATATTGTATTTTTATTCACAGTTGAAATATCGAATTATTTTCACATTAATTACTATTTTAAATATAATTTTCACTTAAAAATTATATTCAGTTATATTCTGCTAATTTAATAACTGAGGAGCAATTATTTTTATTATTATACCTGTCATGATTAAGCTAATGATATTTAATAAATTCTCTTTAGATTACATTTTATCAATTTAAATGCTATTGAACTAGTGGTGTTATAATGAGTGGAATTTTATTGCTATTAGATCAGACATATTAGTAGTAATTATGTTAACTACCAGCACCATTATGATACCCGTGAAGCCTTTGTTGACCTAGTTGATGGATGGAGGGAGCGTGAGTGTAAGAACGAGACAGTTTACACTTAACTTAGTTACTCACAGTTGATATAAAAGTCAGTTTACTCAGATTAATTAGTAGATACACACACAAAAAATTACCCAACTTCTGATATTTTTTGTGCATTAATTTTACAGTGGGGGATTGTAAGAAATTTAAAATAGCTATAGAAAATAACAAATTGTACAAACCATTTATAACTAAGACACGATAACATGTTATATAGAACCCCAAGACACGCTATCATGTTATCTAGAACCTTAAGATACGATGTCATGCAATATAGAACCTCAAGACACGATATCATGTTATCTAGAATACTCATAACCAACACTCATAAGAACATAAGAAAATAAGGAGTCTGTAATAGGCCGGTTGGTCTGTGCATGGCAGCTCCTGTCGAGAGTTACTACCACCCTCTATCACCCATGAATCTATCTAGCCAGTTCCTTCCTATCTCCCTCCTAAACCTAAACTTATCCAACTTAAATCCGTTGCTACGAGTCCTATCCTGCTCGGATATTATAAGATCTTTATCTATATCCCCTTTATTGATACCTTTCACTCACTTAAATACTTCTATCATATCTCCCCGCACTCTTCGTCTTGAATTGACGGCCAGAGGGGGACGATTTAAGTCTGATTTATTGTCCCTTAAGCTTATCTCCATGTCACGACTTCCTTAAGCTTATCTCCATGTCACGACTGCCTTAAGCTTATCTCCATGTCACGACTATCTTAAGCTTATCTCCATGTCATGACTATCTTAAGCTTATCTCCATGTCACGACTATCTTAAGCTTATCTCCATGTCACGACTATCTTAAGCTTATCTCCATGTCACGACTGCCTTAAGCTTATCTCCATGTCATGACTACCTTAAGCTCATCTCCATGTCACGACTGCCTTAAGCTCATCTCCATGTTACGACTATCTTAAGCTTATCTCCATGTCACGACTATCTTAAGCTTATCTCCATGTCACGACTATCTTAAGCTTATCTCCATGTCACGACTATCTTAAGCTTATCTCCATGTCATGACTACCTTAAGCTTATCTCCATGTCACGACTATCTTAAGCTTATCTCCATGTCACGACTATCTTAAGCTTATCTCCATGTCACGACTGCCTTAAGCTCATCTCCATGTCATGACTACCTTAAGCTTATCTCCATGTTATGACGTCATCTTCACCTCCCTTGAGTAACTGTGCTGACGCTGGTAACTTCCGGCAGGCCGCTGAGGAATATCGGGGTGGTGATGACTACGCCTCCGAGCCGCCCAGTGACCTACCACCCCCGCCGCCGCCCACCATAGCACCAGCCGACGCCGCCCCTGCTATGCCTGTGCCGGGGCTACCTCTTCTCGTCAACAGTGGACATCTTTCACGTTAGTATAGGGAGAGGGAGGGAGGGAGGGAGGGAGGGAGGGAAATAAATATATAGAAGGAAGAAGAGAGGTAGGGAAAGACACAGAAGGAGGAGGAGAGGTAGGGAAAGACACAGAAGGAGGGAGTGTTTAATTAGAGGAAAGAGAAGGGAGATAGAGAAGGAGGTCAAAGTTGAAGAAAATCGGAAGCATGAAGGAGGGAAGGGGAAAGATTATACAAGAGGAAGGAAGGGAGAAAAAAGGAGAACGGTAAGGAAGGTAGAAGAGATGGAGGGAGAGGGAAGGAGAGAGGGAAAACAAAAGGAGAAAGTGAGAAAATAAGAGCGAGGCAAATCGGGAGGAGAGAGAAATAAGGAGGGATGAAGAGAGAGAAATAGTATGTATAAACACGAGTCTTCAGTAGTATAGACGATATAAACCTCAGACTTCTGCAGGTATAGATGAAATAAACGTAAGATTTCAGCAGTATAGATGATACAAGCTTTAAAGCTTCGTGAGTATAGATGCCACCAAACCTAAGACTTCAGTAGTATAGATTATATTCACACCTTAAGTCATCAGGTGCACACAGAGAGATAATAATTAAACTGATTGATGTTACAGTCACGGAACACTGTCGCGCCATGTACGACTACGAGGCGACCTGCTCGGAGGAGATCTCGTTCGCCGAGGGCCAGATCATCAGGATCCTCAAGAGGGCGGTACACGATGTTGACGACGGCTGGTGGGAGGGTGAAGTGGACGGACAGGTCGGCCTCTTTCCATCGCTGGTCGTCGAGGAGTGTCGTTCAGACGGAGAACCTCTCACTCCTGATGTAAGCCATCCTTGCGTCCTCCTCCCCCTCCCCCTACTCCTCTGCATCGACTAATTCAGGAGCTTCTCGTTGTTGGTGTTGATGCATGATGAGTATTTACACGACTTGTTTTGTTTTCAATTTTGGTTTTTTATGGTATTAAAGGGGGGTTCTTTTTAGGGGGTAACTTATTTTGTTAGTCTTGTTTGTTTCTGCTTGCTATCATGGCGACCCGTGGTGTACTAGTAAGCAAACTCACATCGCAAGTGAATGGCCCAGGTTCCATCCCCCCAGGTAGGGTGAAACGACGGGCATGTTCCATTCAGCCGGATTTGTGCATGTCTGATGTTGAATGAATCTTTATTACTCCCAGGAATTTTGTTTGTTGCTCTTTTTTAAGTAGGTCTGTATTTGTTGGCATTTTGTTTGCTAGTTTAGAGCTTTTATCGGCTTCTGTTTGTTAAATATTTCTGTTTGTGTCAGGAATATTGTTTCTATCTGTTGTTATCGATACACATTAAATCTGTTGTCAACCGAATCTGTTTCCGTAGAGGATTTCTCCCTAATTCTGTGGTCAGTTTCTTCTGATGTCTCTGTGATGGTAGGATTATCTGCTATCATCCTTTAAGGCATAAACGGAAGTCATGTTGAATTGTCATACACACAGGAAGAGAATTACGAAATACTTTCCGGTATCACGAGCAGAACATTTCTCTTCAACAGTTTCAAGACTCACAGATAATGTCCTCTTCTTATTTTGGTGGTGTTATTAACCTAAAATATTTGCCTTTCCCGTATGATGTTTTCCAGTTTGTGTTTTGTTTTTAAAGTTCATCTCCTACACGCTGCCGGGCGCACGATAAACCCACTGTAGTGTACTGTAGCTGTGACCATTTATCGACCTCTGTTGTTTCGGTTGCCACTGCAGGGTGGAGCGTGTTTTAAGCTTTAACGTTCGTGTGTTGAATATTCTATACTCAGATTCTTCCTCAGTTATCAAGGTCGAGATTATTCACTGGTTGATGTGCTTTTGTTTCTGCCACTGTTGTTGTGATTTTTGTTTTAGTCCATTAACGTGCTTCAACAGCCAAAGTCAGTGAGTACAGATCACTATTTGAGTTTCTACATTACATAACAACTAAGCTTTAGAAACTGGGAAGAATATTAGATCTGTCTCTGTAGGCTGAGATATCACTGTTGGTATACTTTTTCAGTGAATGTTTGTAGAGGAAAAAAGTTTGAGTGTTGCTTTGTGCTGAAGGTCAGTCTGCTTGTGCTGCACTTTAATTAGTTTGCAAAGTTGAAGTGTTATTTGGTAAAGTGTAGTTCATAAGATCATAAAAAGTTCCATTAGCTCATAATATTGAAGAACTTTCCCAGAAATAATAAAAAAAAACTAGAAAAACTGCAATATAGTTACTTAATTGTTTTTGAGTGAAGTGTAAAGACAACTACAATTGGTTTATTCAGAAAATCATCAATTCCTGTAAGGCTGAAAGTTTCCGCTCTCATCATCCCTGCTCCCGTGTTTAAACAGTCACAAGTATTAAACTGTCATCTGATTGTATGCAATTGAATTTACTTTCGTCGAACAAAAACTTAAAATGAAAGAAAACAAAGTAATAGTACTGCCATTTATAAACATCTATTACAACATTTTTCTTAAGGGAACTACGCCATGATGAAACAGATGTCAGGGGTGCCAACATAGTCACAAACATTGAAAGTCAGAAATAATTGTTTTTAAAAGAAAGTTGAAAGTTACGCTATCAGAGGGTCGTAAGAGTCTCAGTGGGTCGTAAGGGTCGTTCAGATGTTTGTGTTCATTACTGATTTTATGAGGCTGTGTTTTTTTTTTCCACTTTAAATTCTGTTTTGAAAATTGTAAAACGCATTTTGTTGCCTTGATTTAGTAAACCTTCTTTATTTTGATATTGCATGTTTGTTACTGCTTTGATGTGATGACAGTGTTTATGTTTGAGTCATGTCCTAGAAGGTACGTACTCTTAGCTGCAATGTTTCAGCATGCGATATTTTACCTTTTTTTTTTCTCAGTATACTGTAAGACTTATCATTGCGTTAGTGATAAATCCTAGAAATTTATTTTACGATTCACAGTTGATTTTTTTAAATGATTCTTTGCTTTTTGGGACTTGAATCAGAAGTGCAAGTTTTATATACGAGTACAATTAATGTATATAAGTGTTAATTCTCGTAATGTTTTTAACGAGAGATGGAGATCCCTCGTTTGACATATGAATTAATGAACTCGTTAATAATATGCTATAACGTGCTTATTGTCTATCAGTAAGTATGATAGACTTCTGTGCTTTCAACCCGGCTGCTAACATTGAGTGTGTAATGTAATCTGGCTCTGCTTACTGTATATTCCTGGTGTCAGTGTAAACAATTATACTGCTTAGTGGATCTTGGCTGTGTGACTTGTCTGCTGCTTAATGAGGGTCGTGTCGGGGGTTCGAGGGTGGCAGGGCGCTGATGGTTATAGGGTCATGCTTTCTCTGAACCCCTGATATGACCTGATATGACCTGTTAAGAAAGGTGTCTCAATACACTAACTATCTCATCATGGTCTATTACTGTGTACCCAACCAAGTGTAGAAGCAGATGCCCAAGACAGAATTTAAAAATCCTCTAAATAGCATTACTAAGGAATTAACGAACATACTTATGATAAATTAGAATAAGTTATATTTTTTTACCAATTGAACAGTGCATCAACCTCTACTATGTCCTCTTCACAGTTGTTTTTCTCTCTTTCTATTCTTGAAAATCCATACGTTGTGTTTTTCTCTCTGTAATTCGACCCTTGAGAACGTATCTACTTGGGTCATGATGGCGGGCCAAGGTGGAGTGTGAACTATAGCACCAAAACTCCACCACATCAAGTTACTTTCTCTAGCATCTATTACAGCTTGGAAAATACTAACGTGAGACCTTTTTTCTTCTTATGAATGAGGACACTGGCTGTTATTAAGGCTGACTTGCCTGTATTTTATCATATAAACTGACAGCTTAAATGCACAATGGTTAACCAGACAGCCAACATAGGTCTAGATCTTTCGTGTAAGATGAATAATTTTAATTAACAAGCTGGGTAGTTGACGAGTGTCATCAGACTGTTAAATGAGAGAATATTTTTTTTACACGGAAGTTAAATCGATTTAGACTTATGAATCAGATTGAGCGATCAAACCTTTTATATTACTGTACATGTTTTAAATGTTCTGAATAAGTTCCCTTTACCTAATATATATTTTAGCCTGTGCATCTGGCTGGACCTTTTCCCTTGTACCTTCTCTCTGTGTTTTATCTCTTAAGCTGTGTTGACGCCTTACTCATGACCACCTGCATCGCCCAGCAGTATTTTTAATCATGGTCTCAGCCTCTCACGTTACGACTCTGAGCTGAGGCGTCGCTTATACTCCATACTTCATTTGCATCTTTTGGTTCCCCCCTCCCTAGCTCAGCGCCCATTATGTTTTCTCTCGGGAGCACACCATTTATGCTCAATACTTCCCTGTGAATGTCTCATTTACCTCGGTTCCTGCTTTTCTTGATGGCTCAGTGTGTGCACGTTATGTTCAGCAGGTCTCAGGTAGTAGATCACACTACTAACCGTGTGGGACGTCTTCATACTCACCCGGAAACCACATCACTCCTCATGCTGTCTTGATTTTTTCTTCTTTGACACCTCCTTTATTCGCCCCCACCTCATTATCCTTATCCAGTTCGTTCTGCTGTTAATTTCATCTAGATTGCTATTGTCTCCTTGTGCACGATTAATCTGTTATGATTATTTTTTTCTTGGAATGAAAAAAAAAAAAAAGAAATCATACTTTTTATTCGCTTTTGCCTCCTCCTCCTTCGTGGTCAATCTTAATTATTTATCTGTCCTTAAAGCTCATGTCTGTTTGCACTGTCTCATCTCCTCGTCCAGATCTTTTTATTTTCGTTTCCGATATTCGTTTTATCTCGCATGTCTTTTTCTTCTCTCTTCCATACCGGTCTCCTTTTCCATCTACAAATCAATCTGTCCCATTTCTAAAGCGTCTCTCTCTCTCTCGTCCTTTTTCTCCTATTTCTCATACACTTCCAGCTTTATCTCTTACATCATACTCTCTTATACTATCAATCCTTACTTCTACTTTCCTTTTTCATCTTTCAATCCACCAACTTTTATCATCCAAGTTCTTCTTTCCTCATCGCCATATACTGCCTGACCCAATTCTCCATAACACAACCTTTCTTCCTCCTCCTAAATCCCTTCCTCCCACAAATTCCAGTCATCCTTACAGACTCTTTATCAATCCTCCAGTTCCTCAGCATCAGACCCACGTCCAACATTCCTCCCCAACATTCCCGACTAAGTTCCGACATTATCATCAAGAGGGTAACAGCTTGATCATCACCTGCCCTCCCCGTGCACTCTCCAGGTGTTCACGTTCCAGGCCGTCTCTGGGGCGTCTCCGTGTACGACGCCGCCCCCTCACACCCCACCGGAGGTGCCAGGCTTCCTGTTGCCCCCGGAGAGAGTTATCATCACGCAGCCGACGCCCGTGGTTGAGACCGCTGAGGAGGACGACAAACCGGAACAGACCGACGAAGGAGCGGGTGAGGCACTCCCTCTGTAGTACAGTGACGGTATTCTGCTGTTTTCAAACTAAGTTTCAAAGATTATGAGCTTTGTTTACATTGAACTGTTAATATGCGCTCATAAATTACTTCGCGTCTTGAACTAATCCAATACATTTTATGTATTTATTTTCTTTTTCTCCAAAATATAACTTGCACACAATCTTTCCTGACAAGAGACCTCAGTGTGTATTACTCCTCAGCTCCATCTAACTTCGAGTCGCCTAATTTTGAGCTGGAGCTGAGCGGCACACATCAGGAGCAGTACTCGCGCCAGTTCAGCTCCTCGCCCGAGAGTGAGACCACGGAGAAGGATCAGCAGTACGCCGAGCTCGTCTCCAGTCCCGACATGTCCAACCAGGAGGTGAGACACTGAGGGGAAGGAGGTGAGAGTCTCGGAGGAGGGTAGAGGTGGAAACTCAAGAGGCTGGAGGTGAGAGACTCGATGGTTAGAGGTAAAAAATTTAGAGGCTTGAGGAGGTGAGAGACTCACTGGTTAGCGGGTTAGACTTAGAGGCTGGAGGTGAGAGACTCTGGTTTAAGAAGTGAGATTCAGAATGGGCCGGAAATGAGAGAGCTGGAAGTGAGATTCTCAGGGAGTTCGGAAAGACCGCCACTCACCTCAGCCTTGTGTCTATAAATCAGTTGTTTACGTTTTCTAAACCAAGTATCTTGTTGATCAACTTCTGCATTAGCAACTGTCTTAGATATTCTCTGCCATGCCCCAGAATTATCTGTTAGCACGCTCGTGATGTATCTTTAAGTATTATTCTGTTATTATTGAGCTACAACTGTCTCCTCCCCCTTTGCAAGTACTATCTCTCTATCTCTTTTTGTATTGGAGACTTTTATTCCCCCCCTCCACTGTAACATTGTGTCGCCTTAGAGGTAGTGACAATTTTTGGGTCCCATTTTAACAGTAGCTCTTCCATAGTTGAGTCATCCATTATGTGAATTTTCGGCCACATATCCTTGTACGCGTAGTAGTGTTGATACTGGGCCTTGACGATTCACCCCCACCACTCCCTCTGGAACCGTGCAGGCCGGTGACCAGACGACTCGGCGGGAAGAGAAACAGCCGTCAGCGACCACTTCTCCTGACGTCGCTGAAGAGGTGAATTCACCCTGACACCCCCCTCCACATAGGATAGTTATAACCTCTTCCCCTACACCCTCACCCAGTAGAGAGCATGGCTAGTGTGTTCCTTCGTCAGTAGTGAGATATATTGATGGGCTAAATCTGTTTGCTCGTCCGGGAATCTACAGTAATTGAAACTCTAAAATAAAACCTTACATCATTTACTTTTACTTTTAACATATATTTTACTGATTATCATTCATCTTCTCTTATTTCCTCTATATTTTTCCTCCTTTTTACTTGTACGGAATGTACTTTGTAAATTACTTCAACTTACTGTACCAAAGTATATGAATCACATTAGTATGGTTGAGTGCAGGGCCTTCAACCTGATGCTCTTGTGATGAAAGACGCTTCGATTGTAAGATGACCAGACGAGACTGAACAGACACAGCCAATAGTGAATAGTGTTTGAATTATATACCACCATAGCTAGTGTCTTGACTGACTTGATTATTCTTCTTAAGTAAAGTTTGTTCTATATGTAATTTTGTGTAATGCTCTTGTAGTATTGTAAGTAATTTCTCCTCATCTCTTAGCTTATTGATTTTCTTCAGGGAGTTATTCAAATGTTGTGTAGTTGTGAGGTGTGGTAGTTGTGGTGCGGCCCTCTAGTGGTCAACAGCGCCAACCTAACCATCTTCTTCCTTCCAGAATAAGTGTCTCCGCCTCGTCCACGGTAACCCTCCCCCTCCCCCCACAGTATTCCTTTAACATAGGGAAAAAAAATAAACGTTTTATGGCTCGTTGGAACATGTTAAGAGGTCATATAAGGGGTTCAAAGTTGACATTGTGTGTGTGTCTGTCTGTCAAGTTCTTTGTGGTTTGTTTATATGTTCAAAAATTCATAATCAAGACCTTTTAACCCACGTCAAGCCATGAGTGTTGACAGACATCTTACTACACACAGAAATTTGGTTCAGAGTTTAGGTTTTCTTGACATTGTTTTTTGAGCTCTGGATCTTCCATTAAGTGTCTTGTTTATATACACACACACACACACACACACACACACACACACACACACACACACACACACACACACACACACACACACACACACACACACACTAAAACAGTATTGTGTCAGTTTTAAATCACTATTATGACCTCTTAAGATAAAAGAAAGTGGCATTTGGAATTTCCATTGAAATTTGTACTTTGTATTTTAAAAATCAACTACAACTCCCACTCTGCCGTTCTCTTGGCCACACACAACCAGTCACCAGAAATACTGTACAATATCTTTCATTATTGAGAGTTGATGTTTAGGGAAGAAACTATGACTTACTTAAGAGAGACTGTATTATGACCAAATATAAACTATAATGATTTACTGTATCTTTATGGAGAGAAGATGTAGACCTCTATTTTCATTATAAATTATTAAATTTGTATTAAAAAGATACCATGGACACGGTTAGTTATACACCACAATATTTCACAGCCACAACGCAGCAAAAACTGTCATACTCGCTGTGTACAGTAGAGTATATACTATAATAACACCCAGTCTACCGTGTTACCTGTTGCTTATACTGGACACCCGATGTACCAGTAGTGGGACTCTTAATTATAAAGAAAAACACACACACACACACACACACACACACACACACACACACACACACACACACACACACACACACACACACACACACAGACATATATATATATGATAGTGTCCTTCCTTTTAATTACCTTTAAATAAAATAATAACTAATCTGTCTATAATCTTATGTAACGTGTCTAAGTTGTCAATCGATGAATCCTAATTTTCAATTATTTTGCTGCACAGAAAGTGTAAGGTGGTGTCAAGGCGAATTGATGTAGTAAATAATAAGTTCATAGATTTCTTAAACAATGCAATTATAATTTAAAGTAATCAAGGCAATAATCACCAGTCCACAGTTTTCATGTCCACACTAAAAGGTTGTATTAGTGGTCCAGGAGTGGCCTGACACTGTCATCCCACCTCCTAACCTTTAAAATGACTCTTTAAACTTAATAATAATAAACTTGTAACACACTTATGACAGTTAATACAACAATATATGTAAAGAAAAAAGTTTGTCTTTAAAAATTCATGAGGATTCTCCCCTTCTATTATCTCCTCCTCGCATCATAACTTTGCGTGGGGCGGTATTTAGGACGGAGATGTTGACATGGAGCGCACTGACTGGGATCCCTCCGCCTCCACCACTCCTACGAATAACGTGGAGGTGACTTCTTGTTAGTAGGAGTAGGCTAGTTCCCAGGACTTTTCCCCCCCCCACAGTGGATACTACTGCCCCCCCCCCCTTTCCTCCTCCTCCTTTTGCTTCCTGGAACTAGATCTGTGGATGAAGTAGATTCTTAAAAAAAAAAAGGATAGTTTCCAGGACTATATTATCCTCACATTGGCTACTGTCCCGATTGGAGTTAGATTTATATAGGAAAAAAAAAGTACTTGACCAAAATAATAATTCGTCGTGTAGAGGCGACTGATTAGTTACAATCCTTTCCTTGCAACTGAAAATTATTGCCTGAAATAGATCCATGGTATAAGCTTTGTTGAAGAGGTTACTGCCTGCTCTCCTCAATTATGTATGAAATAGATCCATGCTGGGAACCACTGTGAAAACAATAACTAAATGGGTAAAAAAATAGACATGTGAAGTAGCTTGAAGAGGCTACTACTGTCCTTAGATTATCCATGACACTTAAGCTTGTGACTGAAATAGATTTCATAGAGTAACCTCGAATGGCCTCTCCTCCTACTGCTACAATGTCATATTAGAGTAGACTGCCACCAGAGGCCAGAGTCCAAAAGTTCTTCAATATTAACTCTGCTCCCTAAGTAAATGTTCATCCTTGTTATTGACTTCATTAATCTGTGTTTTTTCTTATTATTTTTTGATGGATTATACTGAATGTAAAGAAAACTAAGATATGGATTATCTTAAAAGTGTCTCTTGATTTATTTTATTTTTTTTGCCCACCTCACTTATCTTTCTGTGCTCTTTTCATTTACTCTTCAATTTTCCTTGATGCTATCCAGGGGGTTGATCTAGAGCCCTGGCTCGACGAAGTGGACCCCACGGCCACCAACACCCCCGACTCTCTCGATGAGGTGAACCATACTGACCAGGAATTTCGCTAACACCCCTTTATATAGAGCATGGCTAGTGTTGCCGTGTGTTGCTTGATAGATATTTGGATTTTATGCTTCTGATATTAAGGAATTACATCTTCCTACGTTTATTGTATGGAATCTTTATTACAGTCTATACTTTATTTTCTCCTATATGTTTACTAGAGCTCAAGGTAGACACCGGATGACGAATGAGACAAAAATTGAACACACACACACACACCTTATCCCGAGTAAATTTGATTTGAAATAACTACAAATGATAACACAACATCTGAAGCTGATCTGACCTATGTGCAAAATCTTGACATTGGATCCAGTGTTAATTTGTTTATGTCTGGTGTTGAAGTTTACATACAAAACAGTACCTAAAGACCGATACAACACAGCTACCCCCCAAAAAAACCTAACATCGACAACGAATCTGCCTACTGATTGGATGGCCTTACTCCTGCGCATTTCGGTCATTGTCGATAATAGCCCTTAATTAAAAAAGGGTAATTTGAGTCATCTGTTGTCTATTGCATTTTTTTCTCTTATCGGAATACCTCTCATTAATTATTTGTCTTTACCCATTTTTTTTAAAGACTTTGATAACATGAACATATCTAAACACCTTTATATTAAACATTTAAATAAGAATTGAGTTCATGCTTTCCGTTCTCTCTCGTGCATCTTTCCTCGTGAGCAAGTCTTCTTTCCTCCTTACAATGTTTTTGGCCCCAACTAGTACATCCTTTATCCTAGACTGAAGTCCTTAACCCCAGAATATGACCCAAGTTCCAATGAGGTTCTTGACCTTTATAGGGCTTTGCAATCAATGAGGACACTGAACCCAAATGACGTTCCTGTTGTCCTATTGAGATCCTTTACTCATTATAAGGTCCTAGTCCCAAGGAAGCCTTCATTGATGTCCTTTGTTCAGGTCCTTGTTTCTCAGGAGATCCTCAGCCCTATCCTCCAGAGAGATCCACAGCCAGGTTTAGGTCTTTCTTCTCTATTTGAACCTCTGACCCCTGTATGATCCCTGACCCCTATATGACCCCTGATCCCCGTAGGACCCTGTATGACACCTGACTCCTATTTGACCTCCTCTGACCCCTGTATGATCCCTGACCCCTGTATGACCCCTGATTCCCGGAGGACACCTGTATGACACCTGACCCCCTGTATAACTCCTGACCCCTGTATGACCCCTGACCCCTGTATGACCCCTGACCCCTGTATGACCCCTGATTCCTGTATGACCTGATTCCTGTATGACTCTTGATCCCTGTATGACCCCTGACCCCTGTATGACCCCTGACCCCTGTGTGACGTCTGACCCCTGTGTGACGTCTGACCCCTGTATGACGTCTGACCCTGTGTGACCCTTGACCCCTGTATGACCCCTGACCCCTATATGATCCTTGATCTCTATGACCCTTGATCCCTGTGTGACCCCTGATACCTGTATGACCCCTGACCCTTGTGTGACCTCTGCATGATCCATGACCCCTGTTTGGCCCCTGTATGACCCCTGACCCTGTGTGACCACTGACCCCTGTATTACCTCTGACCCCTGTGTGGCCCCTGTATGATCCTTGTTCAGTGTATGACCCCTGAATGGCCCCTGACCCTTGTATGACCTCTGTATGACCCCTCACCCTTGGATGACCCCCTAGCCCCTGTATGACCCCTGTGTGTCCCCCATACAAACCTCTGCATGACCCCTGTATGACCCCTGACCCCAATATGACTTGAATCCTCTCCCCTGCAAAGCACAGTTTCTTCCTCAATTTTGTTTTTATTCTTATTCAAACTTTCTCTCAACAAGTTTTTTGTATTGATGAAAGAGAGAGAGAGAGAGAGAGAGAGAGAGAGAGAGAGAGAGAGAGAGACCCTTAACTTAGTGTTTTTTTACCTCCCTCCTTCCCTTTGCTTTCACTGTTAGAAGGCGCTAAATGGCTGATTGTTTGCTTCGGTCACCCCGTTTCGTCGTCCATGTTGGATAATGTGAGCTTCTGAAGACGCTTTAGTGCAGCAGGAAACTTTTATCATAACTTTATATATATATATCAATGTTTGGATGTGAAATGATTAATAATCCTTTTAACCTAATGAATTACTTACCTGTCTCTTAAAGATTAAATATAAGTCAATATAAGTAGTACAGTATTCAGACAGCTGTTTTGTTCTGTTCATTTACCATTTTCTTTGATGTTACTCGTAAGACGCAATTAAGCTTTTGTTATTAATGGTAAAAAAATAAAATAAAAGTCAAATTATATGATTAATCTTGTCTAAGCTTCGATAGTTTGCAGTTTTTGGGGGGTTGTTTATATATTTAAATTTTTTTTGAATCGCCTGTTAATTAGTCCTAGATGCTTGTTTAATGAGGATGATGATATAAACTCGGTATTTTAATGATTACTTTTCTCCCATCTCTCTCTCTCTCTCTCTCAATATGAACATTCTCTCAACTATAACCAATTTAACTCTGCTACTCTAGTGTCTGGTATTAACTGTAATTTATTCCCAATCGTCTTATTTTATCCACTTTATTCTATTTCTTCCTGGTATTTCTTTCATACATAAGTAATCTCAATTGATATCAAAATTTCCTATAAAAAAAAAAATCTTCACTTAATAATATTGGAACTTTTTCTTTCCTTTTTTTCACATATATTTCAAAGGTTGAGAAAGTACTTTTATTTTTGACATATTCATCTATTATTTCATCCTGTCAAACTTTCTCCTATAAAAAAAAAACATAATTTTCTCAAGGTTTCTATTTTTCATTCACTTTAATTACTTTTCAATAAACTATACACGTTTTTTTTTTGTTCTTCAGTTAAGTCTTTTTGGTATATTTTTTACACTCAATATATTTTTATAAGCTCCTCACTATTTTTTTTTTTACACTAAATCAGTATTTTTAAAAGTTATCTGTGTAAAGGCGTCACTGTACAGCTGATAAATCTGAAATAAGTCACCGTGGTCAGGGGTTTCAAGGTGGTGTGTGTGTGTGTGTGTGTGTGTGTGTGTGTGTGTGTGTGTGTGTGTGTGTAAATTCATCGTTATCTCGCCCTTGATAACTCGGAACTTTAATAGTTGGCAAAACACTTATTCTTATACTCACAATCACAATATATAATTCTATACACACACACACACACCCACACACACACACACCCACACACACACACACACACACCTCTAGCCCGCCCGTATTACCACCTTAAACATACTGTAACACTGTGTTCGTTGCTGTGTTATTGACCTTCACTGGTAGGTTGAGCACTTGCATGTTTTAGTCGTTATATATTACACTTCTATGGGGGAATGTTTCTTAATGTTATCAACGAAATAAAAGGCGATATATATATATATATATATATATATATATATATATATATATATATATATATATATATATATATATATATATATATATATATATATATATATATATATATATATATATATATATATATATATATATATATATATATATATATATATATATATATATATATATATATTACTAATCATAATGTATTAAATAAATCTGTAACGTAATTTAAGGTATTTGTGATTTTTAATTCTGATTCTTTTTTTTTGTTTACAAATGTTATTTGGCTCGTAAATACGAAGAGGTTAGAGGTATTAAAACTTTTGAAATATTTCTGTAACGAAACGAAACGAAGTAAAAGTTTTATTAAGTCTTTATAAACTTTTTTGTTTATTAATCAATTACTTTTTTCAGGGCGTCACTTTTCTTTATCTTATTTTCTGTATATTATTTTGGCTTCAACTTTCTCCACGTTCAGGTAGGAGATTTCATGAAGGCTCACGTAGTGGAGGTGTGCGAGCCTCCAGAGTCCCCACCTCTCCCAGAACCTCCCGAACAGGTGAACATACTTGACACAGCTCATTAACCCCCGCCCCCTCACACACCTGCGATGCCTAACTCCGACACAACCTCGTACTAGATAAACAGCTCTAGGACTTCCCTCCCTCCTTTTGGCACTGGTAGATCTAGGATGCCGAGAATGTGGTTAAAAGGGACCTAGAGTGCCAAACACTGCCAGTAGCACTTCTGGACCCGGTACTCATAGATTTAGATACCCCCCTCCCCTACAGTGAGCTCCACGATTTAACGCTTCGCTCTAAAACCAACAATATTTAGCTTATGTGGCTCTAGAACTTAAACACCCCCAAAACATGCTTGGAATAAACGTAAAAGTAATACCAATTTTTTCATAAAGAGAATGAGATTAACTCTTCCCTTTAAAGTAATAAATAGATTGGGTAACGTAGATATGGTTGGCTCGTATCAGCTTCCTTGTTTACAAAATTTAGATGAATTATCTCGTCAGTAATGCCAAAAACCTCCGCTAGGTGGTGGTCGTAGCTAGTCATGAGGGAGAAGACTGGATGAGAGTAGTATTAACTTCTACCTTTGTTTGTGATCTATATACAGTAACTCACACACAAGTAATGGATTATATTTTCTTCAACACATTTAACATATCAATAAGAAATATCTGTTCTCAGTATAAGTTTTGCATTCAAGTTCCTCTTTTATCTCCCTCAAAGACTAACAGTTGCGTTGAAAAGTCGTAGCTGGAGTAGCCAGATAATAGTGTTAGTGGCCACCCCTGAGCTGACACGCCCTCAGAACGACTAGTCACAAATACCTTTCTTCAGTGCATGGTAAACTTGCCTCTAGAAGTTACGAAAACTAAATCCGTCGAGTTTAGTTAATCGAAGACAATGTATTTATGCGGCTTGAAGCTGTAGAGGAATACATACTGCATTTGTAGACGCTTATACTTAGAGTAACTGTGATTTATAGGCTAGACGTTGTTTGCTTTATATACAGAATTTAGTTCGGTGCATTGTTTTGGGCATCTTGAGTAGGGGAAATTTAGTTAAGAGTTGGTCATTGTGTTGCATAAAGGCTCTAGGCTGAGTGAGATTCTTGTAATTCTTGTTATCTGTGAGAGAATCAACCCCAATGGTAAAACTAACACAATTATTGATATAGTAGTTAGTTTAGTCATGTGTGAAGAAACTCGCTTTGAGATAGAGGTTACTGAAGAGCTTATATAACTTGTGTCATTTCTACTCTTTTTAGTTGCAGTTTTGTGGACAAGACTCGACAGTGAAACAGTAGTAGCATTTATTACGAACGATGTATTTTGATCGTGAAGTTATAATCTGTTAATTAACGCACACATACACGACGCCCACCAGATCACGGGAGAATATGCGATTATTACATTTCTAGTTTTCACTCTCATTTTAAATCTCCTTACATACGTTATCACACCTTTCTCTTACATATTAGACATATACATAGTTATCAGTTGTTTGTTTCTGTTCTTCTGTTTATATGGGTCAACTTGACAGTATCGTTGGCATTGTTGTCGTGAGTGTCGACCACCGTGTGTAAACAGTATCCAACACCTTTCACGTTGAAGACATTAGACACCGAACTCTCTACGGGTTGAGTCGAATCTTGTTTCTAACCCAACTTGTAAGTTTTTTTTTTATTTAGATCTTTTTCGGTGACCATTTACATCAGTCGGAAAATTCGATATGGCAGAATATGGAAGTCAATGTTAGGTTACACACGAAGATCTACTTCCGGGTTTGATTTTGTTTATCTTTGGGGTAAAGGCGGGACGGAGGGATTGCGTTGATCAACCAATGTTAGTATTAAAGTTTTGAGATAAATGATAATAGCCATTTAGGCAGATATTTCTCGAGCCCATAGACCAGTACCGCTTGTGTCAGACCAAAGCGATGGACTAAGCAAAGGTGCCTGTGGTCAGCTGGTGGGACTTCACTTACCCGCCCAGCTAAGTCGGTATTCCAGCCTAAATAGGTTTATCTACAATTTGTTCTGTACATTAACATTAACAAATGAATTATTCAGCTTCTGTTTTCGTCTGAAAATTGTTTGTCAATTACTAACGCCATCAAAGTTTGAGTTCTCGGATATTATGTACGTACAAATAAGATTATTACAATCCTCATATATATATTATATATATATATATATATATATATATATATATATATATATATATATATATATATATACATATATATATATAATCACTTATTTACTTTGTAATAAAGCTGGCAGATGTATGTCAGTAAGTTAGGGTGGTGACACGGTGAAACATCAAGCAGAATTGACCACAAAAGTTTTACGTCTTAATTTCTCTCTTCATTCTTGTCATTATTATATTTATTTGTTTCAATAATTGTTCTTCTCTTCCCTCTCAAAATATATATACTGTACAACTATTTTTCCTTGACCAAAAAGATCTCCCACTGCTATATCTCTCCCGTCTCCCTGTGGTAGATATCTTCCCTACCATACCAGCAGAGATAGATCGACTGTCTCTTTTCTGACTTACAGGTCTCTCACTAACATTCTCTCCCGTCTCTTTGTCTTCCTATGAGCGATCACTTCAATGTATTTTACCAGCAAAAGATCTTTCATTTATATCTCTCTCCCATCTCCCTTTTCAATGCACATCTGTTCAATATCATTTATTTAACGAAAATGATCCCTCACTGTAATATATCTTTCCCATCTCCCAGCAGTAGAGATCTCTACATTCTTGTATCTCCCCTCAAAGTAAAGGAAAGAAAATGAATGTGGGTTTTTTTTCCGAGTGCTGAAGTTATTGTTTATCCATATTGTGACGTGGTCTCCCTGATGTGGTGCTGGTGTGTAGGGGGGTGAACTGGAGTGCTCCGAGCTGGACCAGGTGGAGCCCCCAGCCTTTACCCCACCAGAGTCTCCGCCACAGGTGAAGGGCTTAACGGTTTGCTTTAGTTACCGCTAGAAGCTCTAGTTCTCGCTTGATCATATCCACATACCTTCATTTTATCTTACATTTTCTCTTCTTTTATATTGATCACTTATTATTTCTTATTTTTTGAGGTTTGTATTAAACTGTAGTGTCTTTAAAAACATGTCAGTTACCTGTTTACGATCTGTTTATATCCACAATTGTATTTTATCTTTAATAGATCATTTCAGTTATATCCAAACTCTGGCTGAGGATAAACACCGTCTCAAAATTAATGTGACGATCGTTATATTTTTAATTCATGTGATAATGTAATTACTAACCTTATTACGCTCTTAAATCTAAAGTCAATTGGCTACATTGACTTTGTTTCTTTAAGCCTCACTAACTTCTTTTATTTTCATTCAGAATTTTCTTTTGCTCACTATTCTTGACTGATTGAGAGACTATTTTGACTAATGTTGATCTTGGCAATATTTTCCTAGCCACTCCCTGTCATCTTATTATTTAGTTTTATTTTAACTTAAGCATAAATTTCTTCCATCTTATTTCAGATTTACTTTTATTTTATAGTTTAACTTTTATTTAATAAGTTATTTTCTTTCACTTCAACGTTGGTCTGTGCATTTTTCTTATTCTCTCGCATCGGCCGCCAACACTAGTTTAGTCGTGGTGGAGGAGCAGCCAGCACTAGTGTCCACCCCGACCAGTAGTCAGCACGTGGTAGCTCGCTGGTGTTCGAGCATCAATCCTCAATTTCTAGAAGTTATACATATCAATAGTGTTTTTTTAGAGGTTATACAAATCCAGGAAAAATTTCTGACTTATACACATTCATGACAATGTTATAGAAGTTATACACATTCATGACAATGTTATAGAAGTTATACACATTCATGATATGTCTCTAGAACCGTCCATTTATGGTGAGTGAAAGTGCAAGAGAGGAAAACATTTTATAAGCTTGAAGATAAACTGAAGTTCCCGTTTTCCATGCAGTGTTACCGTCGGCACTTGTCATGAAATAGATAAAATTAAACACACACAAAAAAAAGAAAATAACCCATCTATAGAAATTCTTAGTGTTTGACGTCATCTGTAGTCCTCTTCAACAATTTGTATTCGGGAGAAAAGTTTTTTTTTTGAAAGGGGCGGATAAATCTGCCTCTGTCTAGATGCATTATTTTTTCTTCAATAATTTCGATATTAGAAGAAAAATAAATAATGAGAATTAAATAGCATAAGGTTAACAATACAATGATAATCTTAGGCAAAAACTGTCCTAATCTGTGGATAATAATACCTAGTCTCAGATATTCTTAAAGGGCGACGAGGAAAATAAAGTTTACGATTTCCTCTTTGGCCATGTTTAGTCAACCTAAGATTTGCCTTTCATGACCTGACGGGTGGATGTTTGTTTTGACGTGTGAGGGATATTTTACACACACACACACACACAAATGTCTCAAGCACAGTTTAACGCAGTAATTGTCCAATTCTTGATCACTCTTTATTTAGAATGAAACTTGGAGTCCCTTATACATGTCAGTACGTATTATATCCAGGTGATAAATCATTAATTACACCTATACTTACCTGTTTTTATACGATGCTGTCTAAGGGAATGTTAACCCTCTGAGAATGATGGTTTAAGCCTTTGAGAAAGAAGGTTTAAACTCTCATCCGCAAGCAATTACTTCAACGTCCATCGTCCCCCAACTCGTTAAAGGAATAGTAACAGGAATAACTATTTCAGACAATCTTGAACACGTTGGGGGATGATGATGTGTTTATTATTTGAGGACGTTGATGTAGGTCCACAGTGGAGAAGATAAATCCTTTCAGTAAAGCCGTGTTTTGACCCTCAGTATCTAACTCTGAATCTAGCTTCACACAATAGGCTCAGTGCTCTTGTCTGTCTTCAGAATCATTGCTGTCTTCACATTTAACTGTATTCCCTATTTATTCCTCATACTTTTCCACCATTCCATCATGTTATCAAAATGTAACAGTGGCATTGTGAGAAAATCAATGTATATTGTTTTTGGAGTGTAAGATTAACAACGCGTCTGGCACCGTCTTCATGCCTTCAACTTCACTGTTTTCACCCTTTCATCTTTGAGGTTACCTTCAGCGTTGAATTTTTGAATTATCCCGAACATTTGGTCTTGATGTTGTTTACATAACTTTGTTTTTGTACTGTCCAGAGTGCTTGTCACCATCTTCAAAATTTATCTGTTATTATAATATCTTGAGCATTTGATCTTTATTGCTATCTTCAACATATACTGTACTATTGGATCTCACTTTACCTTTTGATCTTATTAAAAGTCTTGATCATTTAATCTCTAACCAACCTACAACTTTTGAATACTATTGTCCCCCATTTTCTCTTCCTTCGTCTACAACCTGTCCATCTTACTGTCCTCCTGGTGTGGTGGCCGCCGTGGGTGGGTGTGTGTGTAGGAGGGTGATGGTGGGTATGTGCCGCTCCCTCAGGTAGAAAAGCCTCCAGAACCTACACCTCCGAAGGTGGAGGAGAAACCACCAGAACCTACACCACCAACACCACCACCAGTAGTGGAGGAACCTGCGGAGTTGGCTGAGCAGGCGAAGAATCTTCAGGTGGAAGAGCTAGTTGTTTACCTCTAGTTGATCTTAGTGACGTAGGAGTAGAGAGAGATGTGCAGTGGAATAGTTTTAGTGGCTGCATGCTTAGTCTGGTGTAGTCATTGGCATGCAGTTGACCAGCGGAAAGTACATAGTGGGAGGGAAGGTGGGCTGAGAGCTGTGGTGGTCGATGTAGTGACAGATGAACTAACCGGCGATCATAAAATGCCTCGTATATTAATGTCTTATCCAATGCCATGTTGTCTACTTCTCTTCCTCTGACGTCATTTGCTTTTTGGTGAAGCCTGGATCAGTAACTTCATTTCTGCTCAGCTCAGTAAAGTCACTTCGTCTACCATACTGATTGTATTTTTTTTTTACCTAGTTAAGAGTAAGTCGAGTGTCATGACATAACCGGAGTGACGGCAGCTGGTTTATTATCACCAATCCACTGAACGTCTCAACTCCCCGTAAGAAAATTATTTGGTTTACCCGAAGTAGTATGTCCTAATTTCTTTTACCACTGTTGTTATCGAGCCGGGCCATTGGGTCATGTGGTCTTGGGTGAGTAAATAGATATGATAATGCATGGCAAGTGTTGTTTACAGTCTAACTATTGACTCATAAGTGGCCAGCCAGCCGAGACTCTAGGTGTGGAGGTAGTTTTTAAGTACAGTATAGCGACGGTCTGCTTCATAAAATTATTTAACAGAAAATTATTACTTAGTAAAAAATGTAAGAATTTTTCATTAACGAAAATAAGTTTTTCGATTTGTTATCATTGCTAATTAAGAATTTTCTGTCTTCAGTTCAACACAGAGAAACACTTTCACTTGGTCAGAAAAATACTTTAGTGATACAACTTTCCGTTAAGTATTTTCCTCAAGCAAGCATCGTTAATGTACTTAACAATTACTGTAGTTTCTAGTAATAGTTATAGAAAATTACTGTAAAAATTCAATGCAGTTGGTGGAAGGTAACATCATTTCTCCTAGACTCAATAGTACATAACAACCATCGGCGTACCGCTGACCTGCAGAGTAAAATAGTGGGCTTGTTTTGTGATACTGCCAGAAATTGCATCGCTGACTGAGCTTAGTTTTAGAAGCATTCACACTCGAAATTTGCTAATTCAAAGTATGATGATATACTATATCATGACTTTAGAGGGGTGGAGCCTCAAAAGCAAGGTTATAGCTCAATACCTGCTATAACGACTCCTCCAAAACTTAGCGCAGTGTTACAGTATATGTCGATCAAGCGTGACTGCCTGGTGACGAGGCCTGGCAAGTGGGAAGATCTGGCTTGGTAACCACAATGTGTTGTTAATTAACAGGGCGCAGCAGGCAAACGGGGCCCCAGCACAAGGAAGAACGAGAAGCAGTCTAAACTTCCGTTTGAGGTCGGCGGCAGTGGCGAGGGTAAGAGAGTCAGTCCCCGGCAGACCAACACTGCTGGAAGATACCTTTGTAGTTTTCCATTCTTGATTAAACAATAACAATAATTTAGATTGTAATTGATGATCATACGTGCATGAGTGGCTTTCTTTCGCTTTTTTAATTACATAGTCAGTTGAATCTTAAATAGTCTTAGAGTTATGGATAAGTTATTGGTTAGTAGAATGAGTTTAGATTGGAAGAAGTAGTACAGTATTTTCTTGAGTATTACTTGATCTCCCCTTGGGTTTACACTCTGCACCGGCCCTCACAGGTCTTCTGAAGGACCTGCTGGATCGTGCCATATTTTCATTACAACTACTCACATGTGTTATCATTGTCACTTATTTTTTTTCTGAGTTATGAGGTGAATTAACGTGTGAGCATGTGAGACACTAGCTGGCATGTAAGTTATCTTACTAAATCGTTTCTAAGGTCTGTCGTTACCTTCCTTCAGCTTAGATAGTTATTATATTTCTCCTCTAATATAAAAAATAAAAATATTCTAATACCATCTATCCTCGTGATGAACTTTTTTGTAATGCTTTTTGTCACTTTTATATAGCATTTTCAGTGTCTTCTTTGTACTGATTATACTCTAAAGAAAACAAAAAATCCCAGAAACTAGAATGACCCTTGTATCACTTTAAGAGGGTTAATATCAGGTAAACGGGACTATGTTGTGCCACAGACTAATTGGTTCACGTAGTTTGGATTTCCGTATTCTGTTTTTACTGTAGCCGTGGGAGCGGGTTTGGCCCAGACGTAATCACGATTGGATCCTCAATTTGTGAGAGAGTTGGGGCGTTTCCTGGTATGTTAACCTCTTTGTGTAGATTGTTATAGACTCCCGAACCTTTTCAATCTCCCATAGACACGCTTGACATACGTTTCTCATAACAGTTTCACTTTTCGTAGAGGATGTGATATAGAGAACAAAACTCAATACGTGTTCAGATTAAACATTTTTTTTTGTCAAATTGGAATCTAACTTTTATTTATTTTCTTAGTATACTGAACTTTTTCACAGATACCAGTGTAATCTTGCACTTACAGTAGAGATGATTTATGTTATTCTTTATGTTATCATTATGTGATTTAATAGACAATGCCTGATTGTTTTAGTTAAAATAAATAAGGTAAGTTTATTACTCTCCTTGTGTTACTTGTCCCACGGCACCACACCTCACCTTATTCAAGAACAGTTGTTACAGTGAGCGAGGTGCCTGCAGGGTAACCCAAGAGAAAGACAAAAATATGAAGCAAATTTTACTGAATATTGCTGGTAAGTTACATCAGCGGCTCCGGCAAAGGAGAACAAACCATCATTGTTATAAATGTGACTTTAGTAGAGTTCTGTCAAGTAATTTTTAATCGTTGATGAACTAGTGTAATTATAACCTTGTTCAGTGCTTAAAGACCTTAGTTGTGAAGCGCAATAATAGGAACGAACCACTGAATGTGTCTAAAACAAAGCAAAATTAGGATTTAATTTCGCTCAACAGTTTGTTCCTGTTAAAATTATCAGTCAATTAGGGTCTGTCTTCATTCACATGAGCTACGGAGAGACGCAGACACACTGTCAGCTGTGGACGGCAAGGATGTAACTTACCGAGACTTTCGTGTGCAATTTTCTTATATTTTTATTTCCTCTCAAGTTAATTTATAGGAACCCAGATGACTGCAACAACTTGTCTGGTAAGGATGCGAGGGTAAGACACAAGGACAGTGTAAACTTACCCATAAATAGTTATCAGTTTATTGGGTGGGTGAACATAGAGTGAATATTGATTTGTTTCTTGTGGAATGCATTCTTGTGTACTCTGTACTGTGTGAATAATGAATGTTATAATAGGGTTGAAGAAGAAAAGTTTTGCTACATGTGACAGGGGTTATAACACACAGTTAAAGGCTTTATTAGTGCATTTGTTAGCTGTTAATGATGACATTTAGGTGTTAGTTATAATAAATGTAATCAACAATATTTGTCAGGTTTGACCTTTGACTTGTGATATCTCCCTGCGGGTGGGCAGGTCTGGGCGTGGCGCAGATCATCATCACGGCAGCGACGCCAATGGTGGAGACGCAGGAGGAGGATATGGGTGGCACGGGCGAGGACTCAAGGGCTGAGGCTGACCAGGATCCTCTCGACAGCCAGCACCCGGAGGCCGAACGCTCCGAGTGTGAGGGCGAGGCGCTGGTGCTCGACGACGAAGGTCGTCAGCCCCCGCCCCCACCCGCCCCTGAAGGCCCCGGGGAGATGAGGATGGAGATGGTGGGTGCCGAGGGAGGCGCGGGTGACGTGGAAGGGGAGCGGTCTCCCTCGCCCAAGTCTCCTAGCCCGAGTGACGGTCCACCTGATCTCGACCCGGAGAAACTCAAAGCCTTAGAAAGAATTAAAGAATCGAACGCCTAATGTGGGGTGGGGATTGATAGTTCATTACCATTACTTTGTTAGTCACAGTTTATGAGGCGACTGTCAGCCAACACCACCTCAAGTTAGCCGTTTAATCCGTCATCTATGGTGCAGAGTGCAATGAGAGATAAATTAAAAAATCCTAGAAATATCTAACAGATTCCTCGGATGTCATGTATCGAGCCAAACAGAAAACACTCACCCATGTACCTATACGTGTGTACCGTGCTACATACCGCACTTGTTAAAGATCATCAAGAAACACAATAGTACGCTGTTGGCCTTAGAGTCCACCTCAACTTCTCAATAGGTGCACGATCCGTCAACTTGAATATTGCAGTCCGTCAGTTTTGTATCGGAAGGACAGAAGAACGGCGACGGGCGGACAGATGCCAAGCCGTCGCCCGAGACACCTGTCCAGTTTATACTACACGTGTGCAAGTGCTGTCAGGCCCTCCTAGAAGCTTAACTAAGTGTAAGCTGTTACAATGACACTTTGTGCATATCTCTTTTATCTCTCGGTGTACTAAAGAAAGTTTCCTGTGCATCTTTGCATAATTTTTGCTGACTGGTAATGTTTTTTTTTTACATTTCTTATAGAATTTAATATAATTTTTATCTTCATTTAAAACATGTGTAGATTTACTCTCTCATTCAAGTAAACACGTGTCTCATTACAGTAGGAGAACGTGACATATGTATATAATGATGCCATTTTTTCTGACCTTATTTTTAGTGGTATTCCCTTATTTTTAAGGGTTCATGCTAGAGGTTCAAACTTAGCACAATACTGTTTTGGGATCCTGTATGTGTACGTGTATAAAGAAGACGTTACAGGTGTGTCTATGAGCTTAAATAACAAAGCCATTCCACTTTAAACCTATATAACTATCTAGACGTGTTAGGGAGAGTTACTAGTGTAATCCCCCCAACACAAATGATTTTTTATAGAAATTCAGGAGTTGAGGTTTAGCACGACCTTTGATTCTTAACCTTACACACATTCACACCTAAAATGTCTTCTTTACACACATAAACACACACTCTCCTACAACAGTATCCGCCATATTTCAGCCCCTGATATGACCACTTAAGTCCCTCATCTCTCATATTGTAAATTGAGATTAATTTTCCTAGTCTTTGATAAGTAATAAATTTCTAACCCCAGGTCAATAAGTTACGAAAAAGAAAGTGCAAGTTTAAAGAGTTTTATTAATAGCCGAGGCGTGAGAGAAGGTGATCGCCCTGAACTATGAATTTAAACTTTTTCGAAAACTGGCGCCCTTATGAGACACATCTGGATTTTTGTCAACATTTCTGTACAAATTAAATCCAAAACTATAAAGTATTTTTGGGTGATATTTGAAGACAATTTGTTTTTCTTACCGGGTGGTATTCAACATCAAATTCCTTGGTTGTTTCCCTTTTACTAACAGGTCCTTCACCTTCGCTCATTGACTAGGAAATTCTCGAGACTCTTGTATAAAGTTGACTATAAAACACTCGCATCAGCAGTGTGGGGTACATTATTATACCAACAAAATCTGGGAAAAGCTGATATTAAATACTGATACCGATGTGAGAGTAGTGGTTCGCTAGTACCATTGTTGTATTGAAGGATTCTCCACCATAATAATATGTCGTATTTAGGCTTTTCACTTCACACTGTGTCGTTTACTCCCTCGGGCCACGGCTGAGGGAGTGATGTTCTTGGTGGGTGGCGATGTTACGTAGAATTGACTGAAAGTTTGTTCCCGAGACGTCTGGTAGGAGACTAGTCCTCAAATTATTTCCAAGTGCTCTTGTGTGTAGCGTTGGGAGCAGCGCGTGGTGGTCGAGTAGTGTAAGCGTTGTCTTGTGTGAAGGAACTTGTTAGCATTCTTGTTGTTCATTAGCCGCAAGTGCCTGTGCAGACGGTGGCGTTCACGAGTGGTACTTGCGGCTATGTTTATAAGTAAATAAATACCCGAAGAGATAAACAAATATATATGGTTCACATCGGCTTTGCTTTTGGGTTGATAGATTACTGTGCCAGTCAAGGAACTCGGGGAGAGAGGCAGTCCTGTCCTCCCACCACACACACACTAAGCGAATCTGTTATTAGTGGAAGACTGTTAGCGGGAGTTGAGAGAATCCAGAGTTCTGTCGGATTATTGTCTCGGCACGGAGGTCTTCAGTCGTGGTTCTACTTCATAACAAAATACATAACATGCATTTTGTTATGAGGAATTTATGTGGCGAAATCAAAGACATTGACATCGGCTCAAGAATGTAATTTCAAGTTGGCGATGTTTAAGAATCGGATTATGGTATTAGTTTCGGTGACTTACAGCCATTATGATGGTTGTTGTTCATAGTACTTGCCACTACGTACAAATAACCATCTTAAAGTGTCTGTGGGGAGACGGTGACCCAGAATGACCCTACGAAAATGAACTGGTGTGACCTACTCGATTATAACCTACTGTGGGACTGTATGATGTATGATACGACTTGACTTTGGACGGTAGCTCAGCGGCCGGCTTCAGTACCCGTTAAGTTGACTCTAAGAGGACGTGTGTGTGTGTGTGTGTGTGTTTAAAATTGTCTCTACTGTTTACACGTGAGCAAACGCTCTGTTGTCCGAATAAATATGAAATTAATATAAATGAATTAGATTGAAAGCCAGATGCCAGAGAGATACACCTTTTCCTCCTGTCCACCCCCCCCCCTCCCCCCCTCCAGCGAAGTTCTCTGCGTCTGTGATTCTCTTCGAAAAAAAAAACCACAAAAAAGAGAAATACAAATTATGTCAGGCACCAACTCCTCCTCCCCTAATTATCCCTGAGGTAAACAAACACACTTATCTAACATCTGGTATAACAAGAGATATGTACACTTTCTTGAATTAAAAAAAAAAGCTGACTATCTTGTTGGATAAGGCAGTGAGCTCAAACGTCATTTAACAGATATCATTCACACTCCCGAATGTATATAAGAGTATAAAAAGTAAATCCAAGCACTCATACGAATCCCATACCAGGTTTTTCATCGGTACTTTAACGCACAATGATGCTTCGAAGCCACGCGTCAGACATCAATAATAAAAACATGTAGTCAGTGCGTTCGTGCGAGACGCCTGCAGTTGTCCCCCATCACGAGGAACCTTTGTCACTATCGCTTCTTCATAAAGTTAGTTTCCTCCTCATTTCAGTCATTTATTCTATTATGACAATATATTCTGACGGTTCGTTAGCACTAGGATCTAACTTTCTCTAACTAACCTTCGCACCAATGAAGCTTCGAACCAATGAACTTTTGAACCAATGAACCTTCGAACCAATGAACCTTCGAACCAATGAACCTTCGAGCCAATTAATCTTCGAAATATTAAGTAGTTCCCATTTATTCACGGGGTTTCTTTTCTTACTACGAATTTCGCCGAATAATTAATCAAATACAGCTATTTATCTCCCATTTTGTGCATTTTAATTATGTTTTATGGTGATTTATCTTTTTAAAGCTATGTTCTCTTTGGTACAGTACGTTCACAAGACGGTCAAAGAGAAATTTGGTGCGCCAAGTACAGGTTGCTAGACTGTTGTTAGTTAAAATGCGCAGTAGACCTAGGGGCGTCGTGAAGCACACACGTGGGGGAGCAAGTGTTATTGTTTTATAAACTTTTAACGGAGTAATTATTTGTGCTTCGAAAGCTCACAGGAGTAAACGTTTGTGTGTAGTCACCGCACAACAGAACAGAGGGATGTGTCGTAACCTCACAACAGAACAGAGATTTATGTGTCGTAACTTCACAATAAAACAGCTGTTTGTGTGTCGTAACCTCACAACAGAGTAAATGTTTGTGTCTCCTAACCTCACAACAGAACTGCGGTTTGTGTATCGTAACCTCACAAGAGATCAAGCGTTTGTATGAGACAGCGACCTACACGGACATAAAGGCAAGTTCCACAAGTCACACACTGGCAACAGAAGGTAAGCGCGAGTCATGGTCACTTGCTGCTCCCTCCTGGATACCCATTTGTGATTTGCAGTTTGTTTTTTTGCATTTATTTTCTTATATTTCAATTTAGTAATATTCTTTGATTCATGCCTTTTATAGGTGTAGGTAGGTGTTGTGTGTACGTGTGTATTGTTGCCAAGACAAAAATTGTTTTAGAAAATTCTATGGAAAATAAATTTATTGTTATGATTATTAAATATTTATTAACGTTTAAACATAAAGCCAGTTAAAATCACATAAAAATAAAAAAAAATTTCACTAAAGAAAAAAATATGAATAAATGAGTTTAACACTGTCAGGCCGGGATTGAAGGCAGACCCGATAATGTGACAAATTTGGCTGACCGAACATATCTCTGAGACTAAATCCTGGAAGACTAAGTGATGCCCTAACTCGTGCTCAAAGTTTATATCAATTCTCCCACTACGTTCACAAGACATTAGATCACTTGTTGGTGTAGTAGTAGTAGTAGTAGTATTGTAGTATTGTAGTATAGAAGTAGCGGCGTCAGGTAAATTATTAAAGGCACATTCAGGCCCAACAAATTACAAAGGGTCTAAACATATACTGTAGCTCAGATCATTATGTATTCTTGTAATATATCTTACCTTCGATCTCAAGGGTATTGTGCTGGCTCTCTCTCTCTCTCTCTCTCTCTCTCTCTCTCTCTGTTTTCTTATTTAAAAAAAAACCCTACATGGTCACGTATGGGAAATTCACAATGTCTAACGCTCATCCGAATACCACAGCTTCTCTTTAATCATACGAGGTTTACTGTTAAAGATGAACGCAGGTTGTTTACTAACTCGTCAACAAAACCTCTACTCCACGAAGAAAAAGAAAAAGAATTTGCATAATCAAAAGAGCGTGTTTGATTCTTAAATACAACTTAGTCGGTTAGTTACATACGTTTTAGGAATTATTTTAATGCACGATCAGTGTAAAAGGTATTGATAACCTTTGGAATGGGGGAAATTATATTCCTTCGGGAGACCAGGATGAGACACTGAATAAGGAGACGCTCACCCAACAACGTTAATATACGATTGTTGATAAACGTTTTCCCACTTGAAGATTCTCCCTGGGTAGTCGCGTAAAATATATAGTGTACCATAGTACTGTAAAAAAAACAAAAACAAAAAATGAATAACGAAGTTTGCTTCTGCAGTCGTATCCAAAGTGCTGGCATCTTAAAGCACTTTTTTTTTGTCTCGAGTACATCTCCGGAAACAAAATACCCGAATGCATTTTTGTTGAGCGTATTTCCGGAAATGACAAAATATGATCTAGTGTACGTCAATAAACGTGGTGTATTTCGGTGCCTGAGGAGTGAGAAAGATCCATCCCAGATTCTTAAAAGGCAGAGAAAAAAAGATAATTCAGTTTCATTTAATGCTAAAAACCCAGATATTTTCTTATTTTGTTTTTTGGTTTTCAATCCATCGTTTTGTAACGAGCTGCCTCAGGAATTGTCTCGCGTGTTTTGTTCTAACCCAGCTGCTGCTTCTCACGTGCCTTAGAGATGACGGGACACGGACTACTCTCGTGTTTACATTGTTGATTTTGATGACTCCTGAATCCATATACTTCAGGAATTATTACATCTGATTACCTATATATGTCATGATTTCATTAGTTATTATTTCTTCAATCCATTACATGAATTTATATAAATGAATCCACGTGTCATTGTTTAATCCAACCGTTTCGCTCGTTATTATTTCTTGAGTCCTTGTGTTTCATGATCCCATTTATTTCACCCATCACTCATCTCATAACCCTTGTCCATGAATCATTTGTACTATGAATTATATGTCCCATGGGTTTACTTGTTCCATGAGTCGACTTGTTTTGTGATTCACTTGTTTCATGAATCTTTTTTTTGTCGAATTATATGTCTGTCGAATTCTTTGTTTTATGAATCATGTTGATGGATCATACATTTAAGGAATCATGTGGTTGATGGATCATATGCTTAATGAACCATAAGTTTCATAAATCATGCTTTCATTAATCCACTTATATCTGATCCATTCATTTGCTTCAGGGATCTCTTTGCTTTAGAAATCCCAACTGAATTACTGAATCATTTGGGTTATGGATCCGTTCAGCCTTCATGAATCCATACTATTGTAACTCTCGAAGTGGAAGTTGTTCTTATGTCAATAATTTCAGTCTTTCAGCAATAATCCGATGCTCATTTCTTTCATCATTTCTCTCATTATATTACGACATGACCTTCAGCTTGACTGAAGGTCATGTTAACACAGTGACACTGGAATGAGAACTCTTATGTCTCTCTGGTATAAATTTTTAAATAAAGTATCAGAAGTTTGTCGAGTAAGGATGTGTTGTGTACAGTGAATGTGTCAATAAATAGGTAATAGATTAATTTGTATTTTATTAACAAATTTAAAACTTCTAATGGATATCACCTGAAGATCAACCCCCCCTCCCAACTTATTTCACCTGATGATTCAAACCGTAATGCTACCTTGGGGGTTAGCTTAGGTTAGGTAAGATTAGGTTAGCGTGAGAATTTTAAATCGAGTGAAATAAACCGGGGTGTCTAATCTTCAGGTGATCCAAAACGTACCAGGAGTGTACCTTTGAACATAAAAAGTAAAGCTTATCCCCCTTATTATTGTCTATCAAAGAAAAACGTTTAACAAGCTACAAGAAGGTAATTGAAGGTGTATTATTTGATGGTAGAATATAAATGAAGACATTTTAAAGAGTAACTGTGCTTCTCTATGTCAATTTGATATCTGAGGTAGTTATCTTCGTGTAGTAATTTAAGTAAGCTAGTCTCATGATGTTAGATTTGTGAGTACTGTACGTATACAAATACCTAATCTCGAGGACCAATAAGCGAGCGTCTCTTGTTGTGGTGGGGTGATAGCTCGCTCGCTTATACCTAGCTTAGGATAGGTTAAGCTGGGTTTCGTTTTGTAGTTAAGCATGGGCAGAATAATTGCTAGGAGAGAGAGAGAGACGCACGCACACATAGGTTCCAACAACAGTATCGCACAGACTTCAAAGTAACCCCATTTAAGTTAATGCGTTTAATCTACTGTTCTTGGTAATATTGTTTAGTTGTCATGCCTCGGGAGATACACATTAGAATTTTTCAGTCATGGTCAGGATTTACAACAAGGAAACAGAATAAACAGGACAAATGTTGATCTTTTATGTAATGCTACATTCGCAAAAACAATGTGTCTACTGTATGTCAACTTATCACACATGCAACAGGGTAGTAGTAGTAGTAAGATATCTGTTGTCTTTCAGTAAACAAATAACAGAGTAAGTGCTAGAAGATAGGTAGAATGAGGAAAGACACTTAGAGTTTACATGTGAAATAGGTGTCTCACTGTAAATTCTGTAAAATGCCAAAATGAAGATCTAAAGGGATCAAGAAAAAATTATATTGCGAAATTATTTGACAAGCATCAATAGTCTATCACATTGATCAGAAAGCAGATGAAGTTATTTATCCTGGTCAATAAGTAACGATACTTAAGAATATGCAGACAAAATCATCATATACGTTTAATTTAGAAGGAGACGAGATGAACCTGCTTCACTGCTCACGGGATTATTTTGATTAAACGATCATACTGAGATTGGGGGAACTTGCGTTAAGTTACTGACAGAACATCATTAATAGTTATATTAAAGCCCTAAACTACCTGCTTTAGTCAGGATGAAAATGAGATTCTTAGAAAGCCATTTGATATATTTTATAGTTGGTAATATACCCGGCATTGAGGTTCAGTTTGTGAAACATTTGAAGAGGTTGATTGAACTTATATGACTCCGAAGATGAAGATGAAACAAATCATCAATCCAGGTCCTGCAGAAGCGTCAGGGTTGCTAAACTAGAAAGCACCCGATATGGTTGTCGGTAACCGGAATAACATTCATTTGCTAGCAACATTTAGGTTATCAAAATCTGGTAGTCTGAGAAGGAACGCTGAAGCGCTGAGTAAAGGCGCCATCTTTAGCTAGTACAACAGCCAATCCACCTGGAGCTGAAGCAGAACTTGTTGACGAAGTTTTAGATGAACCAGAAGACGAGCTGACCCGAGAATATCCAAAGTTAGACCCAGATGACGTTCCGAAGTCAGTGCTGGAAGATCCTAAGTTTGAACCAGGAGAAGACCCGAAGTTAGAACTGGAAGGTCCCAAATTAAATACAGAGGAAGATCCAAGGTTTGAATCAGAAGATCCAAAGTTAGAATCGAAGTTAGATCCAGAGGAAGATCCGAAGCTCGAAGCAGATGATTCAGAAGATCCAAGGTTTGAAGTGGAAGATCCAAAGTTAGATCCGAAGCTAGATCCAGAGGGAGATCCTAAGTTCGAAGCAGGCGATCCAAAGTTAGATCCAGAGGAAGATCCGAGGCCCGTAGTTGAAGTTCCGAAGTTAGAGCCAGAGGAAGATCCTAGGTTCGAAGCAGAAGTTCCGAAGTTGGAAGCAGAAGATCCAAAGTTAGATCCAGAGGAAGATCCGAGGTTCGAAACAGTAGATCCAGAGGGAGATCGTAGGTTCGAAGCAGAAGATCCGAAGTTAGATCCAGAGGAAGATCCCAGGCTCGAAGCAGAAGTTCCGAAGTTCGAAGCAGAAGATCCGAAGTTAGATCCAGAGGAAGATCCGAGGTTCGAAACAGTAGATCCAGAGGGAGATCGTAAGTTCGAAGCAGAAGTTCCGAAGTTCGAAGCAGAAGATTCGAAGTTAGATCCAGAAGAAGATCCGGTGCCTGAGGCAGAAGTTCCGAAGTTCGAAGCAGAAGATTCGAAGTTAGATCCAGAGGAAGATCCCAGGCTCGAAGCAGAAGTTCCGAAGTTCGAAGCAGAAGATCCGAAGTTAGATCCAGAGGAAGATCCGAGGTTCGAAACAATAGATCCAGAGGGAGATCGTAAGTTCGAAGCAGAAGTTCCGAAGTTCGAAGCAGAAGATTCGAAGTTAGATCCAGAAGAAGATCCGGTGCCTGAGGCAGAAGTTCCGAAGTTCGAAGCAGAAGATTCGAAGTTAGATCCAGAGGAAGATCCGAGGTTCGAAGCAGTAGATCCAAAAGAAGGTCCAAGGGTCGAAGCAGAAGATCCGAAGTTAGATCCAGAAGAAGATCCGGTGCCTGAGGCAGAAGTTCCGAAGTTCGAAGCAGAAGATCCAAATTTAGATCCAGAGGAAGATCCGAGGCCTGAAGCAGAAGATCCAAAGTTAAATCCAGAGGAAGATCCGAGGCCCGAAGCAGAATTTCCGAAGTTTGAAGCAGAAGGTTCGAAGTTAGATCCAGAGGAAGTTCCGAGGTTCGAAGCAGTAGATCCGAAGTTAGATCCAGAGGAAGATCCGAGGCCTGAATCAGAAGTTCCGAAGTTAGATCCAGAAGATCCGAAGTTAGATCCAGAGGAAGATCCGAGGCCCGAAGCAGAATTTTCGAAGTTTGAAGCAGAAGTTCCGAGGTTAGATCCAGAGGAAGATCCGAAGTTAGATCCTAAGGAAGATCCGAAGTTAGATCCAGAGGAAGATCCGAGGCCCGAAGCAGAAGTTCCGAAGTTCGACGCAGAAGTTCCGAGGTTAGATCCAGAGGAAGATCCGAAGTTAGATCCTGAGGAAGATCCGAAGTTAGAGAGGAAGATCCAGAGGAAGATCCGAAGCATTCGAAGTTCGAAAGTCGAAGTTAGAGGAAGATCCCAGAGGAAGATCCGAAGTTAGATCAGAGGAAGATCCGAAGTTAGATCCTGAGGAAGATCCGAGGCCTGAAGCAGAAGTTCCGAAGTTCGAAGCAGAAGATCTGAGGTTAGATCCAGAGGAAGATCCGAAGTTAGATCCTGAGGAAGATCCGAAGTTAGATCCAGAGGAAGATCCGAAGTTAGATCCAGAGGAAGATCCGAAGTTAGATCCTGAGGAAGATCCGAGGCCCGAAGCAGAAGTTCCGAAGTTCGACGCAGAAGTTCCGAGGTTAGATCCAGAGGAAGATCCGAAGTTAGATCCTGAGGAAGATCCGAAGTTAGATCCAGAGGAAGATCCGAAGTTAGATCCTGAGGAAGATCCGAGGCCTGAAGCAGAAGTTCCGAAGTTCGAAGCAGAAGATCCGCGGTTTGCAGCAGAGATTCCAAAGTTCGAAGCAGATGATCCGAAGTTTGATCCAGTGGAAGATTCAAACCTGGAGCCAGAAGAACCTAGTCTTGAGCCTGACGAAGAATCAATGTTAAATGTAGATCCAGAAGAAGGAATAAAGTTGGATAGAGAAGAACTTGAGGATGGCGCAGAAGATCCTCTAAACGCTGAAATTCCTGAGCCAAAGGAAGTGGACAATCTTTGGGTTCCTTGTATTCCAGAACTTGCTTGCAATGCTGATGATGTGGATGAACCGCTCTGTAAGTCTTGGTATTGGACTTCTGCCTTGAAACCCGACTCGTCATCAGCGCGGTATTTGACGATTCTTAAGGTATTATCGGGCTGGAGGACGGAGTAGGAGCCCACAACAACTCCATTATCCAGAGTTTCCTCGTGTGTCTTCTGGTCGCCTGTCTCGGCCGCGTTCACTTCGTAGCGGTAATTGAAGGACAAGTTTGGATCTGTCCTCACGATCTGTGCTCCATCTGTGATTGTTGGTAAGGTGTTGTAGTTCTGTGCCTTAGCTGATACTGTGGACGCCGTCAAGACTGTGGCAACAGCCAGCACCAAGACCTGGGGAAACATGGCAGGATTAATAACTAATGCTTTCTTTAATTATGTAAATAATTTAAGTATTCCACATGCAATGAAAAGTAATTACCGTTTATATTCAGTTTTCATAGAATATGAAAAGAGAACTTTAATTTAGCAAGACCAGTGACTTATTTTTTTTAAGGAAGCGTAGTAATAGTCACACTGATATTATTCGTTACATCAGGTATATTATCTACTACTATGTTATATAAAGAGGGTAGAAAATTAAATATTCATGGAGAAGTACGAATAGATCCCACCTTGTCATAAAATTATTCACAGCGGTGCTACAAGTTTTTATTTATTTATTATTTTTTTTGCCCGGTAAGACACTGTGCCTAAGTTAATCTTCACTTTACTACCTTCACAATATTTACATCTTATACAACACGAATGTAAATATCAGTACACTGGAATCATTATCTTTAAGTACAGAGTATCCACTGCACAATCACTACACCATGACGTGTTAGTCTCACCTGAGCTGCCATCATCAGAGTGAGGAAGGAAAGAGAAGTGTTAGGCAGGTGAGCAACTGCTGCTTTATATACTTGTCAGACCCGAGGTCATGTGACTGGCCAGGAGCCACGTGATTGGTCGGTGGTGTAGGAGAAGTTGGCTGGTGTTGACGAAAGTAAAAAATTGTGGTTTGATTCTCAGTGAGATTTTAAATGGTGACTTGATACTGACGTCAGGTAATCGAACCTCTTCGTATTGTTATTAATATTTTTACTGGTTATTTATTTTTACTAATAACTACTGTTAATGTAATTTCACTTTCATGGAATCAGTCAGTCGATCAATGTACCATCCTCAAATTTGGGAATGAGTACCACAGCCCACCACTTCATAAGTTTTCAGGCTCTGTATACTAATCCTCCCAGATTTTGTATCTCACCTATATAGGACCACAGCTTTTAGTTTCATTCACCTTTCCTCTAATTCTACTCCCTTAAATTTTATCAGTTATTATCTCTCCCTCTTTAGCTTATAGTTCCTTTTCGCGATATATTATAATATTAATAATATCAATATTCTTACTTTTTTATTCCTCTATCACTAAGTTTTCTTTCTTCATCGCTAGTTACACTTTCTCGTATGATAAATTATAAACACGAATTAATTATGTTTGAGACACCACTTCGCCTTCACGTACTTCCTTTGTAGCCTTAAATCAGCTAGTAAGTCTAGAACTAAAAAAGACAATAGCTTCCTGATGTCTGCAAAGATTTGTTGGAATTCTAATTGTTCGTTCATTAATGCTTTATTTTTTCCAAAACTATACAATTTCTTTGAAACTCTAATACCCTTTCACTTATAATTATCAAAGGATAAACTTCCCTAGTGTCTCTTCCATTTATGACATTCTTTATGATCTTCAGATAACCTCTTCTCTATTTCTGTTTTATTCTCTTTAAAATTACGTTTAATAAAATTTTGCACACTTGACTAATTCAACCAATTCTCCTAATCTGGGCGGACTGAAAGGTTTCTCTTTTTAATAAAACAATAATAAAACTAAAAAGATCTCCTTTGTAGTAAATAGTTATATATTTCAGTTAGATTCTAATATCCTTCTTGCCTATTGGTTATAGAAATTCTGCGAGAAGCCGATCAACCCCACAACTCTTAACATTTATCATGTTGACCACATTTGCCTCAACTTTTGTTTCTAAAATTAGTAGTTTGATTTTTATTGATTCCTTACTTCCACTATAGTATGTCTCTGCCATCGTCCATGACTTCTCTGTCTACCTTTCTATAACTTCTTCCTCAAAAAGATTCTCATATGTAACTCCTTTCAATCCCACCCCATTATTTCCTCTTCTCTGATTCCTTTCTTACATATCTTCCTGTAATTTTCCCTCCTTTACTATAAGAAAATATTCCTTGGCCTTTCTACATTTTTTTAAATATCTTTATATAGTTTTTTATCTATTTTCTTTAAAAGCTCATTTATAATCTAACTATTTTTAACCTAGCTTTTTTTCTTATATGTTTTCTCAACTCTCTAATATTTCTTATTTGAAGTTATTCCATTACTCTTCACTTTCATATTCTTCAAATCTTTTCTCCGACAACAAAGCAAATATTTCTGGGTTTCAAATTCAAATTCTCTCTTCCCTATATCATTTTAATTTAATCTAGTTTTTCTTTAGTTTCTTTAGTTTTAGACTCACATTTCTCATTAGTACTCACTAAAAGTTTATTCTGCGCCTTTAACTATGTGACACACTGGACCAAGAAACCTGATAACACTCATCACGGCTTCTGTCATAGTGATCGTTGAGGATGGGATCAGAGCCAAGGGTGTACGATATTTTTAGTGAGTGTACATCATGAAGTGGAAATTGTTCTTGTGACAGGAACATCAGATCTTCAGTAGCAATCTCATACACTATAAGAACTTTATAGCTTGGACGAAACCATGTTAACACGGTTACACTGGTATGAGAACTCATGTTTCTTTGGTATAAAAATTTAAGTAACGTATCAGAAGTTTCTAAAAAAAGGAAGTGTTGCGTAAAAGAATATGTCAATGATTATACTGTATACCGTTTATTGACAATCAAGACGGTTTTAAAAATATCTGAAAACTTGAATTTTGTATTTTCAACTTAAAATCAAACCGTGTTCCTGTTAGTTCATTATGTTCCAGTGAGAGATTTCATTTGTTTTGTTTTTACATCACCAATGGAAAAATGAAAATTTCGAAAGTGGACTTGAACATAATTAAGTTAATTTTATTTCCTAGGCGTTAAACCACGATCAATGGCTTTATTCACGGAGTAGCCATAGGAAGTACTTAAGAACTCAACAAATTCATATCTATAAAAAAATGGTGTGAGGAATCTTCAAACTCACAAACATCCACACTACAAAAAACAGGATGGGGTCACCTATGAATCCCTGACATAATGCCATAAGACAACATGTCTAACATATATCGTCTCTTCTTAATAATATTGTATAGTTGTCAAGCTTGTGAGTTTTGATCATTTCAGTCAAGTTCAGGAGTCATAGTAAACACAAACAAGGAAATAACAAACATGTAAACTGTTGATCATCATTTATTTCATAATACAGTTACATAACACTGTCATTCTTCCACTTATCACATATACACTGTTACATAAAATAATATGTCCTGTTTCGGTCAACATAGAACAACATGAATATATGATATTAAAGTTAAGAAATATCTTAAGTAGTTAAACATCCAGAGTTTATATAAGATACATTTATAACTAGTGTGAAGATTCTGTCGAGAAGGAAATATTTTGAAGTTAAAAATATTTTCTGTATTGTGGTTCAGCTTGTGAAACACTTACTGAACACCTATGACTCTCAAGATGAACAAAGAGGAAGACCATACGTCCAGGTACTGCAGAAACTTCAGTGTTCCGCATCTATAAATCACTGGAAAAAGTTGTCGGAAACCGAAGTAACATTTACTTGAGAGCAAAAATTTACGTTCTCAGAATCTGGTAGTCTAGGAAGGAACACTGGAGCGCTGAGTAAAGGCGCCATCTTTAGCTAGTACAACAGCCACTCCACCTGGAGCTGAAGCTGAGCTTGTTGAAGAAGTTGTAGATGATCCAGAGGAGGAGCTGACCCGAGGTGATCCTAAGTTAGACCCAGAAGACGTTCCGAAGTTACTACTGGAAGAGCCGAAGTTTGAACCAGAAGAAGGTATAAAGATAGAACTGGAAGATCCGATGTTAGATCCAAAAGATCCCAAGTTAGATCCAGAGGAAGATCCGAAGTTAAATTCAGAGGAAGATTCCTGGTTAGAACTGGAAGATCCGAAATTAGATCCAGAGGAAGATCCCAAGTTTGAACTGAAAGATCCGACGTTAGATCCTGAAGAAGAACCGAAGTTAGATCCAGAGGAAGATCCCAGGTTAGAAGTGGAAGATCCGAAGTTAGACCCAGAGGAAGATCCCAGGTTAGAAGTGGAAGATCCGAAGTTAGATCCAGAGGAAGATTCTAAGTTAGAACTGGAAGGTCCGAAGTTCGATCCTGAAGAAGAACCGAAGTTAGACCCAGAGGAAGATCCCAGGTTAGAAGTGGAAGATCCGAAGTTAGATCCAGAGGAAGATCCTAGGTTAGAAGTGGAAGATTCGAAGTTAGATCCAGAGGAAGATCCTAGGTTAGAACTAGAAGATCCGAAGTTAGGTCCAGTGGAAGATCCCAAGTTAGAACTGGAAGATCCGAAATTAGATCCAGAGGAAGATCCTAGGTTAGAAGTGGAAGATCCAAAGTTAGATCCAGAGGAAGAACCGAAGCTAGATCCGGAGGAAGATCTCAAATTAGAATTGGAAGATCCGAAGTTAGATCCAGAGGAAGATCCCAGGTTAGAAGTGGAAGATCCCAAGTTAGGTCCAGTGGAAGATCCCAAGTTAGAACTGGAAGATCCGAAATTAGATCCAGAGGAAGATCCTAGGTTAGAAGTGGAAGATCCAAAGTTAGATCCAGAGGAAGATCCCAAGTTAGAACTGGAGGATCCGAAATTAGATCCAGAAGAAGAACCGAAGTTAGATCCAGAGGAAGATCCTAGGTTAGAAGTGGAAGATCCAAAGTTAGATCCAGAGGAAGATCCTAGGTTAGAACTAGAAGATCCGAAGTTAGGTCCAGTGGAAGATCCCAAGATAGATCCAGAAGAACCTAAGTTAGATCCAGAGGAAGATCCGAAGTTAGAACTGGAAGATCCGAAGTTAGATCCAGAGGAAGATCCCAAGTTAGACTGGAAGATCCGAAGTTAGATCAGGAGATCCGAGAAGTTAGATCCAGAGGAAGATCCTAGGTTAGAAGTGGAGAGTTAGATCCCGAAGATTAGATCCAGAGGAAGATCCCAAGTTAGAACTTCCAGATCCCAGAAGTTAGATCCAGAGGAAGATCCCAAGTTAGAACTGGAAGATCCGAAGTTAGATCCCCCAAGTTAGAACTGGAGGATCCGAAGTTAGATCCAGAGGAAGACCCGAAGCTAGATCCAGAAGAACCGAAGTTAGATCCAGAGGAAGATCCCAAGTTAGAATTGGAAGATCCGAAGTTAGATCCAGAGGAAGATCTCAAATTAGAATTGGAAGATCCGAAGTTAGATTCAGAGGACGATCCCAAGTTAGAACTGGAAGATCCGAAGTTAGATCCAGAGGAAGATCCCAAGTTAGAACTGGAAGATCCGAAGTTAGATCCAGAGGAAGATCCCAAGTTAGAACTGGAAGATCCGAAGTTAGATCCAGAGGAAGATCCCAAGTTAGAACTGGAGGATCCGAAGTTAGATCCAGAGGAAGACCCGAAGCTAGATCCAGAAGAACCGAAGTTAGATCCAGAGGAAGATCCCAAGTTAGAATTGGAAGATCCGAAGTTAGATTCAGAGGACGATCCCAAGTTAGAACTGGAAGATCCGAAGTTAGATCTAGAAGAAGCGAAGCTAGGTCCAGAGGAAGATCCGATGTTAGTTCCAGAGGAAGAATCAAATCTGGCACCAGATGATCCAAGGTTAGATACCGAGGAGGAGCCGAAATTGGAGGTAGACGATCCCAGGCTTGATCCAGAAAATGAGGATGAACCACTCTGTAAGTCTTGGTATTGGACTTTTGCCTTGAAACCCGACTCGTCATCAGCGCGGTATTTGACGATTCTTAAGGTATTATCGGGCTGGAGGACGGAGTAGGAGCCCACAACAACTCCATTATCCAGAGTTTCCTCGTGTGTCTTCTGGTCGCCTGTCTCGGCCGCGTTCACTTCGTAGCGGTAATTGAAGGACAAGTTTGGATCTGTTGGTAAGGTGTTGTAGTTCTGTGCCTTAGCTGATGCTGTGGACGCCGCCAAGACTGTGGCCACGGCCAGCACCAAGACCTGGGAATTATTGAACAAAATTTAAAGATAATTTTCTATCATTGTGCACAATTTAATTATTTATGCTGGGTTAAGTAGTATTTTAACATGAAAAATAACTATTCAAAAATTTTGGAGGAACCAGGATAATAAAGAGTTAGACTTATTTTTAGTAACAATATCAGGGAGACTACTTCTACTGCGAAGTTAAGTAAAGATTGTGAAAGAAAAACAGTTCCTGTAGGAGGAGTACAACGTAACACATTGTCAGTTCACTTGATTCATTAACCATGTCTACAGAGTCTCCACTACACTAACACTACACCAAGACGTGTAAATCTCACCTTAGTTACCATCATCATAATGTAGAAGACGGGAGAAGTGTGAAGCAAGTGAGGGGCGCCTGCTTTATATAGAAGCCTGGATCGAGGCACGTGACTACCCAGAAACCATATGATTGGTCGGCGTGATAGGGAAGGCTGCCTGGTGTTGTCGAAAGCAGAAACTGGTGTGCTGATGCTTATTCCGATTCTGAATGGTGACTTGATACTGGCGTGAGAGAATTGCACTTTTCTTTTTCTCACCTTACACATGTTTGGCCTCAGAGACCTGTTAGCTGGTTCTTCCAACAAATTGTCCACAATGCGTTCGAATCAGATGTAATTCCTCCTCTTCTATGTCCTCAATCGTAGAGGCTTTTCCCTGACGTTGACCGCGATATTATTCCTCTGTATCATCCACTCGGTCTACTACCTGGCAGCTTCATTTCGTAGAATTCTTAAGAATATATCTCAAAGTTCATATGTTTTATGTTCCTATACCTTCTTAGTTGCGTTTTCTTTACAAATTTCAACGCCCAATTCATATCTAATATCTACATTCCTTAAGTGTACTCCTAATTATCGTAACTATTATTCTTCAGTGTGTACGTTTATATATGCATAAGTACTTTTACATAAGTTCATTTCCATATAATCAATCAATCAAGGAGCCTTTCTCAGGTCTAGGGATTACTACCACAGGTCACCTCTTTGGTTAAAGAATTCTTTTTTATTTACATTATCAATATTTCTTTCGTGGCCCATTTTTTTTTGTAGCCTAACTTCTGTTTGACAACATTAAACTTCATTCTTCGTCATTATCCACGAAATTATTGGCAAGTCTTCGTTATGCCTTTTCACTATTTGTAATATCATCACCAACATCTGCTCACCAAATTCTTTTGACTGCCACTAACTTTCATCCCTCAGTCGCTAATTACATTTTCTCTTATGATAAATTATAAATGAGTGTCAAATAATTTTGAGGAAGCAGGCAGTCTTGTCTTACTCCATCTCTGGCCTTAAATCACCAAGTAAGTTCTACTAATACTGCAGCTTCTGATGCCAATAAAGGTTTATTTTTGTTTTTTAGAACTTCGAAATCTCCTTCTTTATCAGCTTTTTTCGAGACATCTGTTAAGTCTAATCTACACAGTATTACCCTATTAAATGCTTTATACAATAAACAAAAAGTATATTTTACTTTGGACGTCTAAAATATTTTGATAATTCTCGAGCAAAGGAAACTTAATAAAATTCTTTATAATCTTTGCAATGTTTCTTATCAATCCATTTTTTTTTATTATTCTGCTTCAAATGACATTCATTAAAACTTTACGCCCTTGGCTCATTAAACTAATCTTAAAATGGTTGCACTCTATGACGCTAATCTTTAAACTCAAGCCAAAAAAATGATATTTTAATTTTGTTGAAATTTAATTCTCCTTCTGGCCCAATATTTATAAAAAAAATGCTGGAAATTGAGTCACACCACAAGCATATTTATTTGCCATATTGTTCATCGCCGCCTCAACTTATAATTATATTTTTTAGTTTGATTTTTATCTCCTATTTTGTTCTTACTTCCACTACCAAAGTGTCAATATGCAGCTGCTCATTATATTCTCCTCACATTTTTTTCTTCTTCTGCCACAAACATGATTTTATAACCATTTCAGTTTATATACACACAAAATAATATCCTGTTTTTTTTTTTTTTGTTTTTTTTTAATATTCGTTTATTTCCTTGCCCTTGTGTCTCATAACCACTATTCATCTCCTTGTTTTTCTCTGAGTATCGATATTTTCTGAAGGCTTTTCACACGTTTTTCATACAATGTGCATTTCTTCATTTGATTCTCTTCCAATAACCAACTTTCTTCTCTAAGCCAGGTATTTTTAGACCACATTTGTAATTCAGTTAGATTAAGCCTGATTTACATTTCATCCTACAAGTTTTTCCAGCTCTAATATTGTACACAGCCCCACTAACCCCTCCCGCATTCTCCAGGTGGCTATGGCGTTTGTTTGTCACGTTCATTAGGTGTCCGGGCTTCAGGCGTTTATTTTATTTTATATATTTTTTAATTCATATTGTTTACCGTTCTATCTTCACTTGCCGCACTGAGTTTGAAGAAGTTTACATTAACCGTACTACGACTTGTTGTCACTTTAAAGTTATTCCAGTGTTATTCTTATTCTTCATATACTTCCTTCAACTTCATATATCTGATTTCAAATAAAGTGAAAATTGTGTACCTTCCTCTTTTCAGCTTCCATAATCTCATTAAAATTCATCTTATTTTATCTAAACTCATTACAAGCAATTTTGCATTTATTTGTGTGATTTCTGATTTTATTAAAACTCAATTTTTCCTCAATAACCTTATATACAATGCATGTAACAACTTCAGCCTGACTGACGCTATGTCAACATGATGACACTGGAATGAAAGTTCTTATGTCGCCCTGGTATAAGAATTCATTTAAAAGTATCAGAAGTTTGTCAATTAACTTTGTGTAATCCACAATGAATGTGTTAATCAAGAGAAAATAAATTATTGCGTCTTTTATTCATAAACAAATAGATTTTCACAATAAGTGATAACTCAATTGTTTGTGTTTGGTCTTCAAAATATAATATCATCTGCTTTGTTTTTACACCCACACGATAAAATTTTTACCCCAGCGAAAAAAGTTAACATAATTCATCCATACCTAAGTTTACCGGTTTTCCTAAGCGTTAACCAGAACAGTACCTCATGTAACAGTGAACGCGAGAAATATTCTGAAAACAAAATGTGACTTTCTTGTTGTTTGCAATGCATTGCCAAATTCACGTATACACATACTGTACTCACTGCTTTAACATTATTGAGCGCATTAAATCCCCGAAATAATGCCACAATGAAACACCTCAAACATATTAGCACCTTTTGATAATATTATTAAGTTGTCAAACCTTTGAGGTTTTACCGTTTCATTCATGGCCAGGATTTATTGTAAGCTTAAACAAGGAAACATAATAAACATGAAAACTGTAGATCGTCATTTATTTGATAAAACATTTCCAACACTATAGCTGTGCTCCATACATCACACACACACTGTTGCTTAAAATTATATATCGAGTTTCGCTTAATAACTAACAACATGAATAAGTGTTACTAACGTTAAAAGATAATCATAATGCGGACAAACATTCTCAGTTTATATAAGACACAGGTGTAAGTAATTTTCTTAATGGTTAAAAATGCTCATGCTGGGGGAACTTATTAAGCTACTGGCAAAAACTTCACTACAGTCCGATTAAAACCTCAAACCTTCTAAGTTAGTCGTGCTGAGATCTGAATCAATTAAATCCCCTGAAAATATTCTTAGTTATTAATACACTGTGTGTTATGGTTAAATTTCTGAAACACTTGAAAAGGCAGATTAAACATAGAGCATGAATCACCAGTCCAGCTCATTAAGAAGGGTCAGTGTAGTTAAACGAGAAAGCACTCGATAAGGTTGTCGGTAACCGGAGTAACATTCACTTGATAGCAACAATTACGGTTTCAGAATCTGGTAGTCTGAGAAGGAACACTGGAGCGCTGGGCGAAGGCGCCATCTTTAGCTAGTACAACAGCCACTCCACCTGAAGCTGAACTTGTTGAGGAAGTTGTAGATGATCCAGAGGAGGAGCTGACCCGAGATGATCCTAAGTCAGAACCAGATGACGTTCCGAAGTTAGTACTGGAAGATCCCATGTTAAATCCAGAAGAAAATCCCAAGTTAGAACCAGAGGAAGATCCGAGGTTTAAAGTGGAAGATCCGAAGTCAGAATTGGAAGATCCGAAGTCAGAACTGGAAGATCCGAAATTGGAATTGGAAGATCCGATGTTAGAATTGGAAGATCCGAAGATAGATCCAGAAGAAGAACCGAAATTAGAATTGGAAGACCCAAAGTTAGACCCAGATGGAGAGCCCAGGTTAGAACTGGGAGATTCGAAGTTAGATTCAGAGGAAGATCCCAAGATAGAACTGGGAGATCCGAAGTTAGATCCAGAAGAAGGTCCTAAGGTAGAACTGGAAGATACAAAGTTAGATCCAGAAGAAGATCCCAAGTTAGATCCAGTGAAAGATCCCAAGTTAGAACTGGAAGATCCGAAATTGGAATTGGAAGATCCGATGTTAGAATTGGAAGATCCGAATTTAGATGCAGAAGAAGAACCGAAATTAGAATTGGAAGATCCAAAGTTAGACCCAAATGAAGATCCTAAGTTAGAACTAGAAAATCCAGAGTTAGATCCAGTGGATGATTCAAAGTTAGATCCAGAAGAAGAACCGATGTTAGATCCAGAAGAAGATCCGAAGTTAGATCCAGAGGAAGATCCGATGTTAGATCCAGTGGAAGATCCGAAGTTAGGTTCAGAAGAAGAACCGAAGTTAGAATTGGAAGATCCGAAGATAGATCCAGAAGAAGAACCGAAGTTAGAATTGGAAGATCCAAAGTTAGATCCGGAAGATCCTAAATTTGATCCAGAGGAAGATCCAAAGTTAGAACTAGAAGATCCAATGTTAGATCCAGTGGAAGATCCGAAGTTAGATCCAGAGGAAGATCCGAATTTAGATCCAGAGGAAGATCCGAAATTAGATCCAGAGGAAGATCCTAAGTTAGAACTGGAAGATCCGAAGTTAGATCCAGAAGAAGATCCCAAGTTAGAAGTGGAAGATCCGAAGTTAGATTCAGAGGAAGATCCGAAGTTAGATCCAGTGGAAGATCCGAAGCTAGGACTGGAAGATCCGAAGTTAGATCCAGAAGAAGATCCCAAGTTAGAAGTGGAAGATCCGAAGTTAGATCCAGAAGAAGATCCCAAGTTAGAAGTGGAAGATCCGAAGTTAGATTCAGAGGAAGATCCCAAGTTAGAAGTGGAAGATCCGAAGTTAGATTCAGAGGAAGATCCGAAGTTAGATCCAGAGGAAGATCCCAAGTTAGAACTGGAAGATCCGAAGTTAAATCCAGAAGAAGATCCCAAGTTAGAAGTGGAAGATCCGAAGTTAGATTCAGAGGAAGATCCGAAGTTAGATCCAGTGGAAGATCCGAAGCTAGGACTGGAAGATCCGAAGTTAGATCCAGAGAAAGATCCCAAGTTAGATCCAGAGGAAGATCCTAAGTTAGATCCAGAGGAAGATCCGAAGTTAGATCCAGAGGAAGATCCGAAGTTAGATCCAGAGGAAGATCCGAAGTTAGAACCGGAGGAAGATCCCGAGATAGAACTGGGTGATCCCAAGTTAGATCCAGTGGAAGTTCCGAAGTTAGATCCAGAGGAAGATCCGAAGTTAGATCCAGAGGAAGATCCGAAGTTAGGACTGGAAGATCCGAAGTTGGATCCAATGGAAGATCCGAAGTTAGATCCAGAGGAAGATCCCAATTTAGTACTGGGAGATCCCAAGTTAGATTCAGTGGAAGTTCCGAAGTTAGATCCAGAGGAAGATCCGAAGTTAGAACTTGAAGATCCGAAGTTAGATCCAGAGGAAGATCCCAATGTAGAACTGGGTGATCCCAAGTTAGATCCAGTGGAAGTTCCGAAGTTAGATCCAGAGGAAGATCCGAAGTTAGAACTTGAAGATCCGAAGTTAGATCCAGAGGAAGATCCCAATTTAGTACTGGGAGATCCCAAGTTAGATTCAGTGGAAGTTCCGAAGTTAGATCCAGAGGAAGATCCGAAGTTAGAACTTGAAGATCCGAAGTTAGATCTAGAGGAAGATCCTAAGTTAGATCTAGAAGAAGATCCGAAGCTAGAACCGGAGGAAGATCCCGAGATAGAACTGGGTGATCCCAAGTTAGATCCAGTGGAAGTTCCGAAGTTAGATCCAGAGGAAGATCCGAAGTTAGAACTTGAAGATCCGAAATTAGATCCAGAGGAAGATCCCAAGTTAGATCCAGAGGAAGATCGCAACGTAGAACTGGGAGATCTCAAGTTAGATCCAGTGGAAGTTCCAAAGTTAGATCCAGAGGAAGATCCGAAGTTAGAACTTGAAGATCCGAAGTTAGATCCAGAGGAAGATCCCAAGTTAGATCCAGAGGAAGATCGCAACGTAGAACTGGGAGATCTCAAGTTAGATCCAGTGGAAGTTCCGAAGTTAGATCCAGAGGAAGATCCGAAGTTAGAACTTGAAGATCCGAAGTTAGATCCAGAGGAAGATCCCAAGTTAGATCCAGAGGGAGATCGCAACGTAGAACTGGGAGATCCCAAGTTAGATCCAGTGGAAGATCCAAAGTTAGATCGAGAAGAAGATCCGAAGTTGGATCCAATGGAAGATCCGAAGTTAGATCCAGAGGAAGATCGCAACGTAGAACTGGGAGATTTCAAGTTAGATCCAGTGGAAGTTCCGAAGTTAGATCCAGAGGAAGATCCGAAGTTAGATCCAGAGGAAGATCCAAAGTTAGATCCAGAGGAAGATCCGAAGTTAGAACTTGAAGATCCGAAGTTAGATCCAGATGAAGATCCCAAGTTAGAACTGGAAGATCCGAAGTTAGATCCAGAAAAAGATCCGAAGTTAGGTCTAGAGGAAGATCCCAAGTTAGATCCAGAAGTAGATCCTATGTTAGTTCTAGAGGAAGAATCAAATCTTGCGCCAGATGATCCACGATTAGATACCGAGGAGGAGCCGATATTGGAGGTAGACGATCCCAGGCTTGATCCAGAAAATGAGGATGAACCACTCTGTAAGTCTTGGTATTGGACTTCTGCCTTGAAACCCGACTCGTCATCAGCGCGGTATTTGACGATTCTTAAGGTATTATCGGGCTGGAGGACGGAGTAGGTGCCCACAACAACTCCATTATCCAGAGTTTCCTCGTGTGTCTTCTTGTCGCCTGTCTCGGCCGCGTTCACTTCGTAGCGGTAATTGAAGGACAAGTTTGGATCTGTCCTCACGATCTGTGCTCCATTTGTGATTGTTGGTAAGGTGTTGTAGTTCTGTGCCTTAGCTGATGCTGTGGACGCCGCCAAGACTGTGGCCACAGCCAGCACCAAGACCTGGGGAAATAAGGTAGTATTATTAACTATTTTTTTTAACATTGTTAATAACTTAAGCATTGTGATGTATTGAATGATAATTTTCTATGAATTAGCAAGTGCAACGTCTAATTTTTTAAGGATCCAGAATAATATAAAGTTGCAGTGACACTACAGTATTAGTTCCGTTATCGGGTATAATACCTTTTACCTTTATGTTACATATTGAAATTTCCTTGAGGAATATGTCACTCTGTGTGCTTTTCCTTAAGGCCTTCACAGCACTTCGGAAGAAGTTGTCATACTTAGGAAGACATGATTTTGAATATTAATGGCAACAACATAATTCATCTTCCTTCCGTTGCCATTGTAGTATTTACATCAAAATCAGTTGCCCTTACAATGGCATCCCTAACTAAATGAGTACAATTACTCCCCTTTTAATCAGGACGCGTTTACCATTCAGAACTGTCTCACCTGAGTTGCCATCTTCATAACGAGTAGGACGGGAGAAGTGTGAGGCAGGTGAGCGGATTATGTTTTATATACCAGTATGGGCCGAGGTCATGTGACTGTCCAAGAGCCAAGTGATTGGTCGGCAGTGAAGAGAAGGTTGGAGGGTGTTGACGAAAGTCGAAACTGGTATCCGGATACTCATATACTGGCGTGAGGTCACTGCACTAGACACTACTACATTATAAAAGTTTATCATTCACAAGATGAACCAAACTAACATACCTAACCTAAAATACTACAGTTATCTTTCCTTCTGTTAAACAAATAAAAAGTAATGTTGCGTTATTTCGCTGTTATTGCTGTTGACAAAATATTTCGGGTGGATCACTGCAGACCAATAGTTACATGTGGCCTTCGAATGCTGGGGAGGAAGATTACTTGGAAATCATATAATAATGTTTAGATAATGCTCAAATTTAGTTTAGGTTAGATTAGGTTAGGAGCCGATATTTTATGAACTATTAAGTATATCACGTAGTGGTATCTGGCAGTTTGGCGGAAGTTTCCAGACTCGCCGACTGAAAACAAAGGCGCTCATGATTTCACGCCCATTAAATACCTGTATATGATTATTATTATTATTATTATTATTATTATTATTATTATGATTATTATTATTATTATTATTATTATTATTATTATCATTATTATTATTATTATTTATTATTATTGTTATTATTACTCTTACTCTAATTAACACTATTATTTACAGAGTACGTTCATTTCCTTATACACACTGTTATGTAAGTTCATTTTAGTGGCATCAATCTATCAAGGTGCCATCCTCAAGCGTGGGGATGGTAACCGCAACCACCACTCAAAACTTTTCAGACTGTGTTTGCTTATCCTTCTAGAGATTGTTTATCACCTGGGACTGAGGTATGAATTTCATTTACCAATGTCAGTCTCTGTCACCCCTGGATTTACTATCATCAGTTTTACTAACTATTGTCTTTACCACGAAAGTATAGCCAAAGTATCACTCCTTTTTGTTAATTAAATTACTAGTATTGATCTCGTTGCTCTAGCCAAACTAAGTTTGGTTAATATAGATTCTGTCTCTACAGCATTAACTCGAAGCTCATATTCATTGACTTTTTCCACCAATCTCTTAACCAAACTTGTACTGTACTGCCTCTTTAATATCTGCAACAATAATGGTAAATATATAATGTAACTCTCCTGCTAACATATTCACCCATCGCTACTCACATCTTCTTATATCAGAAGCTATACACATATACTATTAATTACAGCAATGTTGGAGACAGTACCCACCCTTGTCTTACCCCTGTCTGGCCCTTAATCACTTTGTACTGTTTTCTTACGAATACTGCAGCTTCCTGATGACTGTAAAGGTTTTATTAGAGTTATAATTACTCCTATATTTTCCAATGTGTTTTGCCTTATGATTTTTTGTTTTAAAAAACAAACAAATGCTGAATATTATTTCTCCACCTAAAATCATTTCACGTAAATTTTTAAAACCTAAGGAGCATTTCCTTGTTCCTCTTCCATTTCTAAAATATTTATTAATCTAAACATAATTTTTTGTCTTTCTAGTTGTTTTCTGTCTCAGTTTACGTATGATAAACATTTACACATATGGATTATTAAATTTATCTTGTTGATGGATGGTCTACTAACCACTAGTATACAGGGTCTCCTCTCTGCTGAATAAAATCATTTGATATTAACCACAGGGATATGAAAAGCGGCGTCCAGTAATGAAGGGGTTAACATTGATGTACACTTTAGCTCCTATTTTTCAAGGTAAAGTCACAAGTATTGATATTTTACTTCATTTGGAATATCTTCTAAGTAATTAAGTGTTCAATTATTAAGTTTAATTTTCCATCTTTTTCTGCCCAGTGGTTATACAAATCTTGCTTATCTTCTATTCTATTGTTGCCTCCCTGGTATCATACCCCACCTTTCCTTTACTTCTTCTGCCTCAAATATGAGAGTATTATGTTTACTTTTAATATTCACACCGAATGATGTCATTTTATATTTTCTTTCCTGTTGTTTCTGTATTTCCTCGTGATTGTTTCTGGCAACCATTGTTCGTTTCCGTTAGCCTTTCTTCAGTTTTAAATTTATTTGCGCCATTCTTTCTCTGTCTCAATTCTCATAACCAATTTTGTTCACTATTCTATTCTTTATATAACTACAATCGTAATCCAGAGGCATTTAATCTGATTTATGTATTATTTTCCAAGTTGCTCCCAACTCTAATATAGTACACCGCTCCCACTCTGTTTGTTTGTCACGTTGGTTGGTTATCCGGAAGACATCTGGGGCAGATTTTAGCCAAGGAGCTAAAACTGGGGAACAACAGGAACCAAAAACAGTGCGGGGTTTTTTAATTGTATTGTTCCCCATTGTCGTGTAAAGTGCGAGGCAGTGTACATGGAACGTACTACAACTTGTTATTACTTTTAAATCATTCCATTGTTGTTTTTGTTCTTCATATCCATCCTCCAACATAACTAAATATCTATTTTCAACTTGAGTTTAAATTCTATCCTTACCTATTTTCAACTTCCCCAAAACTCATTAGATTTCATCAGAATTTATAATTTTTAATTTCTTTGGTTTTGTTTTACCTTCACTAACTCATTATTTATAGTTTTATCTACAGAAGCACAACAAAAGTTGTACTAATGTCAAGAACTATAGTTCTTCAATAATACTCTTTTATATGACATGAACTTTAACTTGACTGAAGCCATGTTATTAACACGCTAACAGAACTCTGGTATAAAAATTTAAATAAAGTATCAGAAGTTTGTCGACTAAGAATGTGTTCTGTAGAGTAAATGTGCCAATGAGGAGCAAATAAATGATTTATTTTATATTCACAATCAAGTAGAATTTGATAATGATTGACAACTGTTCTTGCACTTTTTTCCTTGTAATCGATCTGTGTACCTCCATGTTAATTATCTTTCAGTGAGAGATCTCATCAGTTTTGTTTTTCATCAACATGACTGAATTTTATCGGGAAGATTTGTAATGTTGATTTTAACCATAGCTCGTGCAACAGTAGACGCAGGAACAAAATATTGAAATCAAGATGTAACATTTTTCTGTGTATATACTGTACTATCAAATTCACACATGTACAGTATATACACACACTCACCTCCAAGACAATATTGGACCTCTTGAATCCCTGAAATAGTGCCATAAGACTACATGTCTAACATATATCGTGTCTTCTTAATAATATTGTATAGTTGTCAAGCTTCTGAGTTTTGATCATTTCAGTCAAGTTCAGGAGTCATAGTAAACATGAAGAAGGAAACAACAAACATGTAAACTGTTGATCATCATTTATTTTATAATAGTTACATAACACTGTCATTGTTCCACTTATCACATATACACTGTTACATAAAATTATTTGTCCTGTTTCATTTAACAAAGAACAACATGATATGTGCTATTATAGTAAAGAAATATTTAGAATAAAGTCAAACATTCGGAGTTCATATAAGATACAGGTGTAGGTGGTGTTAGGAAGGAGACACGATGAATCTACTTCACCTGATTGTACTGAGATTTAAATTGTCGAAATCCATTGGAAATATTTTAAAGTTCATAATACACTCTGTATTGTGGTTCAGTTTGTGAAACACTTGAAGAGGTTGAGTAAACATTCTATGAGTCCAAAATAAACAAAAAGTATGAAGCCTAATTCCAGGTCCTGCAGAAGCGTCAATATTGTTAAACTAAAAATCACTCGATAAGGCTGTCGGTAACCGGAGCAACAATCACTACACTGTAACATTTTGGTTCTCAGAATCTGGTAGTCTAGGAAGGAACGCTGGAGCGCTGAGTAAAGGCGCCATCTTTAGCTAGTACAACAGCCACTCCACCTGGAGCTGAAGTTGAGCTTGTTGACGAAGTTGTAGATGATCCAGAGGAGGAGCTGACCCGAGATGATCCTAAGTTAGATCCAGAAGAGGATCTAAAGTTAGAATTGGTAGAACCGAAATTAGATCCAGAGGAAGATCCCAAGTTAGAACTGGTAGAACCGAAATTAGATCCAGAGGAAGAACCGAAGTTAGAACTGGGAGATCCCAAGTTAAATTCAGTGGAAGATCCGAAGTTAGATCCAGAGGAAGATCCCAAATTAGAACTGGAAGTTCCGAAGTTAGATCCAGAGGAAGATCCGAAATTAGAACTGGGAGATCCTAAGTTAGTTCCAGTGGAAGATCTGAAGTTAGATCCAGAGGACGGTCCCAAGTTAGAAGTGGAAGATCCCAAGTTAAATTCAGTGGAAGATCCGAAGTTAGATCCAGAGGAAGAACCGAAATTAGAACTGGGAGATCCTAAGTTAGTTCCAGTGGAAGATCTGAAGTTAGATCCAGAGGACGGTCCCAAGTTAGAATTGGAAGATCCGAAGTTAGATCCAGAGGAAGATCCCAAGTTAGAACTGGAAGACCCAAAGTTAGATCCAGAGGAAGAACCGAAGTTAGATCCAGAGGAAGAACCTAAGTTAGATCCAGAGGAAGATCCCAAGTTAGATCCAGAGGAAGATCCCAAGTTAAAGCCAGAGGAAGGTCCCAAGTTAGAACTGGAAGACCCAAAGTTAGATCCAGAGGAAGAACCGAAGTTAGATCCAGAGGAAGATCCCAAGTTAGATCTAGAGGAAGATCCTAAGTTAGATCTAGAGGAAGAACCGAAGTTAGATCCAGAGGAAGATCCCAAGTTAGATCCAGAGGAAGATCCGAAGTTAGATCTAGAGGAAGAACCTAAGTTAGATCCAGAGGAAGATCCCAAGTTAGATCCAGAGGAAGAACCGAAGTTAGATCCAGAGGAAGATCCCAAGTTAGATCTAGAGGAAGAACCTAAGTTAGATCCAGAGGAAGATCCCAAGTTAGATCCAGAGGAAGAACCGAAGTTAGATCCAGAGGAAGATCCCAAGTTAGATCTAGAGGAAGAACCTAAGTTAGATCCAGAGGAAGAACCGAAGTTAGATCCAGAGGAAGATCCCAAGTTAGATCTAGAGGAAGAACCGAAGTTAGATCCAGAGGAAGATCCCAAGTTAGATCCAGAGGAAGAACCGAAGTTAGATCCAGAGGAAGATCCCAAGTTAGATCTAGAGGAAGAACCTAAGTTAGATCCAGAGGAAGATCCCAAGTTAGATCGAGAGGAAGATCCGAAGTTAGATCCAGAGGAAGAACCGAAGTTAAATCCAGAGGAAGATCCCAAGTTAGATCCAGAGGAAGATCCGAAGTTAGATCTAGAGGAAGAACCGAAGTTAGATCCAGAGGAAGATCCCAAGTTAGATCCAGAGGAAGATCCGAAGTTAGATCTAGAGGAAGAACCTAAGTTGGATCTAGAGGAAGATCCCAAGTTAGAACTGGAAGAACCGAAGTTAGAACCAGAGAAAGATCCCAAGTTAGAACTGGAAGATCCAAAGTTAGATGGAGAGGAAGAACCGAAGTTAGATCCAGAGGAAGATCCCAAGTTTGATCTAGAGGAAGAACCGAAGTTAGATCTAGAGGAAGATCCCAAGTTAGAACCGGAAGATCCGAAGTTAGATCCAGAGGAAGAACCGAAGTTAGATCCAGAGGAAGATCCCAAGTTAGAACTGGAAGATCCCAAGTTAGATCTAGAGGAAGAAACGAAGTTAGATCCAGAGGAAGATCCCAAGTTAGAACTGGAAGATCCAAAGTTAGATACAGAGGAAGATCCCAAGTTAGATCCAGAGGAAGATCCAAAGTTAGATACAGAGGAAGATCCCAAGTTAGATCCAGAGGAAGATCCCAAGTTAGAACCGGGAGATCCGAAGTTAGATCTAGAGAAAGAACCGAAGTTAGATCCAGAAGAAGATCCCAATCTAGAACTCGAAGATCCCAAGTTAGATCCCAAGTTAGATCCCAAGTTTGAATTGGAAGATCCGAAGTTAGATGCAAAGGAAGATCCGAAGTTAGATCCAGAGGAAGATCCCAAGTTAGAACCGGGAGATCCGAAGTTAGATCTAGAGGAAGATCCCAAGTTAGATCCAGAGGAAGATCCCAATCTAGTACTCGAAGATCCCAAGTTAGATCCCAAGTTTGAATTGGAAGATCCGAAGTTAGATGCAAAGGAAGATCCGAAGTTAGATCCAGAGGAAGATCCTAAGTTAGAACTGGAAGATCCGAAGTTAGATCTAGAAGAATCGAAGTTAGATCCAGAGGAAGAATGAAATCTGCCGCCAGATGATCCACGATTAGATACCGAGGAGGAGCCGATATTGGAGGTAGACGATCCCAGGCTTGATCCAGAAAATGAGGATGAACCACTCTGTAAGTCTTGGTATTGGACTTCTGCCTTGAAACCCGACTCGTCATCAGCGCGGTATTTGACGATTCTTAAGGTATTATCGGGTTGGAGGACGGAGTAGGAGCCCACAACAACTCCATTATCCAGAGTTTCCTCGTGTGTCTTCTGGTCGCCTGTCTCGGCCGCGTTCACTTCGTAGCGGTAATTGAAGGACAAGTTTGGATCTGTCCTCACGATCTGTGCTCCATCTGTGATTGTTGGTAAGGTGTTGTAGTTCTGTGCCTTAGCTGATGCTGTGGACGCCGCTAAGACTGTGGCCACGGCCAGCACCAAGACCTGGGGAAATAAGATAGTATTATTAGGTATATTTTTTAACATTGTTAATAACATAAGCATTGTGATGTATTGAATGATAATTTTCTATGAATTAGCAAGTGCAACGTCTAATTTTTTAAGGATCCAGAATAATATAAAGTTGCAGTGACACTACAGTATTAGTTCCGTTATCGGGTATAATACCTTTTACCTTTATGTTACATATTGAAATTTCCTTGAGGAATATGACACTCTGTGTGCTTTTCCTTAAGGTCTTCACAGCACTTCGGAAGAAGTTGTCATACTTAGGAAGACATGATTTTGAATATTAATGGCAACAACATAATTCATCTTCCTTCCGTTGCTATTGCAGTATTTACATCGAAATCAGTTGCCCTTACAATGGCATCCCTAACTAAATGAGTACAATTACTCCCCCTTTTAATCAGGACGCGTTTACCATTCAGAACTGTCTCACCTGAGTTGCCATCTTCATAACGAGTAGGACGGGAGAAGTGTGAGGCAGGTGAGCGGATTATGTTTTATATACCAGTATGGGCCGAGGTCATGTGACTGTCCAAGAGCCAAGTGATTGGTCGGCAGTGAAGAGAAGGTTGGAGGGTGTTGACGAAAGTCGAAACTGGTATCCGGATACTCATATACTGGCGTGAGGTCACTGCACTAGACACTACTACATTATAAAAGTTTATCATTCACAAGATGAACCAAACTAACATACCTAACCTAATATACTACAGTTATCTTCTCTTCTGTTAAACAAATACAAAGTAATGTTGCGTTATTTCGCTGTTATTGCTGTTGACAAAATATTTCGGATGGATCACTGCAGACCAGTAGTTACATGTGGCCTTTGAATGCTGGCGAGGAAGATTACTTGGAAATCATATAATAATGTTTAGATAATGCTCAAATTTAGTTTAGGTTAGATTAGGTTAGGGGCCGATATTTTATGAACTATTAAGTATATCACGTAGTGGTATCTGGCAGTTTGGCGGAAGTTTCCAGACTCGCCGATTGAAAACAAAGGCGCTCATGATTTCAGGCCCATTAAATACAAAATTACCTGTATATGATTATTATTATTATTATTATTATTATTATTATTATTATTATTATTATTATTATTATTATCATTATTATTATTATTATTTATTATTATTGTTATTATTGCTCCTACTCTAATTAACACTATTATTTACAGAGTACGTTCATTTCCTTATACACACTGTTATGTAAGTTCATTTTGTGGCATCAATCTATCAAGGTGCCATCCTCAAGCGTGGGGATGGTAACCGCAACCACCACTCAAAACTTTTCAGACTGTGTTTGCTTATCCTTCTAGAGATTGTTTATCACCTGGGACTGAGGTATGAATTTCATTTACCAATATCAGTCTCTGTCACCCCTGGATTTACTATCATCAGTTTTACTAACTTTTGTCTTTACCACGAAAGTATAAACAAAGTATCACTCCTTTTTGTTAATTAAATTACTAGTATCGATCTCGTTGCTCTAGCCAAACTAAGTTTGGTTAATATAGATTCTGTCTCTACAGCATTAACTCTAAGCTCATATTCATTGACTTTTTCCACCAATCTCTTAACCAAACTTGTACTGTACTGCCTCTTTAATATCTGCAACAATAATGGTAAATATATAATGTAACTCTCCTGCTAACATATTCACCCATCGCTACTCACATCATCTTATATCAGAAGCTATACACATATACTATTAATTACAGCAATGTTGGAGACAGTACCCAGCCTTGTCTTACCCCTGTCTAGCCCTTAATCACTTTGTACTGTTTTCTTACGAATACTGCAGCTTCCTGATGACTGTAAAGGTTTTATTAGAGTTATAATTACTCATATATTTTCCAATGTGCTTTGCCTTATGATTTTTTGTTTAAAAAAACAAACAAATGCTGAATATTATTTCTCCACCTAAAATCATTTCACGTAAATTTTTAAAACCTAAGGAGCATTTCCTTGTTCCTCTTCCATTTCTAAAATATTTATTAATCTAAACATAATTTTTTGTCTTTCTAGTTGTTTTCTGTCTCAGTTTACGTATGATAAACATTTACACATATGGATTATTAAATTTATCTTGATGGTGGATGGTCTACTAACCACTAGTATACAGGGTCTCCTCTCTGCTGAATAAAATCATTTGATATTAACCACAGGGATATGAAAAGCGGCGTCCAGTAATGAAGGGGTTAACATTGATGTACACTTTTGCTCCTATTTTTCAAGGTAAAGTCACAAGTATTGATATTTTACTTCATTTGGAATTCCTTCTAAGTAATTAGGTGTTCAATTATTAAGCTTAATTTTTTATCTTTTTCTGCCCAGTGGCTATACAAATTTTGCTTATCTTCTATTCTATTGTTGCCTCCCTGGTATCATACCCCACCTTTCCTTTACTTCTTCTGCCTCAAATATGAGAGTATTATGTTTACTTTTAATATTCACACCGAATGATGTCATTTTATATTTTCTTTCCTTTTGTTTCTGTATTTCCTCGTGATTGTTTCTGGCAACCATTGTTCGTTTCCGTTAGCCTTTCTTCAGTTTTAAATTTATTTGCGCAATTCTTTCTCTGTCTCAATTCTCATAACCAATTTTGTTCACTAATCTATTCTTTATATAACTACAATCGTAATCCAGAGGCATTTAATCTGATTTATGTATTATTTTCCAAGTTGCTCCCAACTCTAATATAGTACACCGCTCCCACTCTGTTTGTTTGTCACGTTGGTTGGTTATCCGGAAGACATCTGGGGCAGATTTTGAGCCAAGGAGCTAAAACTGGGGAACAACAGGAACCAAAAACAGTGCGGGGTTTTTTAATTGTATTGTTCCCCATTGTCGTGTAAAGTGCGAGGCAGTGTACATGGAACGTACTACAACTTGTTATTACTTTTAAATCATTCCATTGTTGTTTTTGTTCTTCATATCCATCCTCCAACATAACTAAATATCTATTTTCAACTTGAGTTTAAATTCTATCCTTACCTATTTTCAACTTCCCCAAAACTCATTAGATTTCATCAGAATTTATAATTTTTAATTTCTTTGGTTTTGTTTTACCTTCACTAACTCATTATTTATAGTTTTATCTACAGAAGCACAACAAAAGTTGTACTAATGTCAAGAACTATAGTTCTTCAATAATACTCTTTTATATGACATGAACTTTAACTTGACTGAAGCCATGTTATTAACACGCTAACAGAACTCTGGTATAAAAATTTAAATAAAGTATCAGAAGTTTGTCGACTAAGAATGTGTTCTGTAGAGTAAATGTGCCAATGAGGAGCAAATAAATGATTTATTTTATATTCACAATCAAGTAGAATTTGATAATGATTGACAACTGTTCTTGCACTTTTTTCCTTGTAATCGATCTGTGTACCTCCATGTTAATTATCTTTCAGTGAGAGATCTCATCAGTTTTGTTTTTTCATCAACATGACTGAATTTTATCGGGAAGATTTGTAATGTTGATTTTAACCATAGCTCGTGCAACAGTTGACGCAGGAACAAAATATTGAAATCAAGATGTAACATTTTTCTGTGTATATACTGTACTATCAAATTCACACATGTACAGTATATACACACACTCACCTCCAAGACAATATTGGACCTCTTGAATCCCTGAAATAATGCCATAAGACAACATGTCTAACATATATCGTGTCTTCTTAATATTATTGTATAGTTGTCAAGCTTCTGAGTTTTGATCATTTCAGTCAAGTTCAGGAGTCATAGTAAACATGAAGAAGGAAACAACAAACATGTAAACTGTTGATCATCATTTATTTTATAATAGTTACATAACACTGTCATTGTTCCACTTATCACATATACACTGCTACATAAAATTATTTGTCCTGTTTCATTTAACAAAGAACAACATGATATGTGCTATTATAGTTAAGAAATATTTAGAATAAAGTCAAACATTCGGAGTTCATATAAGATACAGGTGTAGGTGGTGTTAGGAAGGAGACACGATGAATCTACTTCACCTGATTTTACTGAGATTTAAATTGTCGAAATCCACTGGAAATATTTTAAAGTTCATAATACACTCTGTATTGTGGTTCAGTTTGTGAAACACTTGAAGAGGTTGAGTAAACATTCTATGAGTCCCAAAATAAACAAAAAGTATGAAGCCTAAGTCCAGGTTCTGCAATATTGTTAAACTAAAAATCACTCGATAAAGCTGTCGGTAACCGGAGCAACAATCACTACACTAACATTTTGGTTCTCAGAATCTGGTAGTCTAGGAAGGAACACTGGAGCGCTGAGTAAAGGCGCCATCTTTAGCTAGTACAACAGCCACTCCACCTGGAGCTGAAGCTGAACTTGTTGACGAAGTTGTAGATGATCCAGAGGAGGAGCTGACCCGAGATGATCCTAAGTTAGACCCAGATGACGTTCCGAAGTTTGTACGAGAAGAGCCGAAATCAGATCCAGAGGAAGATCCCAAGTTAGAACTGGAAGATCCGAAGTTAGAACTGGTAGAACCGAAATTAGATCCAGAGGAAGATCCCAAGTTAGAACTGGAAGATCCCAAGTTAGAACTGGTAGATCCGATATTAGATCGAGAGGAAGATCCCAAGTTAGAACTGGTAGATCCGATATTAGATCCAGAGGAAGATCCCAAGTTAGAACTGGAAGATCCCAAGTTAGAACTGGGAGATCCCAAGTTAAATTCAGTGGAAGATCCGAAGTTAGATCCAGAGGAAGATCCCAAATTAGAACTGGAAGATCCCAAGTTAGATCCAGAGGAAGATCCGAAGTTAGATCCAGAGGAAGGTCCCAAGTTAGAAGTGGAAGATCCCAAGTTAAATTCAGTGGAAGATCCGAAGTTAGATCCAGAGGAAGATCCCAAGTTAGATCCAGTGGACGATCCCAAGTTAGAACTGGAAGAACCGAAGTTAGATCCAGAGGAAGAACCGAAGTTAGATCCAGTGGACGATCCCAAGTTAGAACTGGAAGAACCGAAGTTAGATCCAGAGGAAGAAGTTAGATCCAGTGGACGATCCCAAGTTAGATCCAGAGGAAGAACCGAAGTTAGATCTAGAGGAAGAACCTAAGTTAGATCCAGAGGAAGATCCCAAGTTAGAACTGGAAGAACCGAAGTTAGATCCAGAGGAAGAACCCAAGTTAGATCCAGAGGAAGAACCCAAGTTAGATCCAGAGGAAGAACCGAAGTTAGATCTAGAGGAAGAACCGAAGTTAGATCCAGAGGAAGATCCCAAGTTAGATCCAGAGGAAGAACCGAAGTTAGATCTAGAGGAAGAACCTAAGTTGGATCTAGAGGAAGATCCCAAGTTAGAACTGGAAGAACCGAAGTTTGATCCAGAGGAAGAACCGAAGTTAGATCCAGAGGAAGAACCGTTAGAACTGGAAGCTCCAAAGTTTGATCCAGAGGAAGAACCGAAGTTAGATCTAGAGGAAGATCCCAAGTTAGAACTGGAAGAACCGAAGTTAGAACCAGAGAAAGATCCCAAGTTAGAACTGGAAGCTCCAAAGTTTGATCCAGAGGAAGAACCGAAGTTAGATCCAGAGGAAGATCCCAAGTTAGAACTGGAAGATCCAAAGTTAGATCCAGAGGAAGAACCGAAGTTAGATCTAGAGGAAGATCCCAAGTTAGAACCGGAAGATCCCAAGTTAGATCCAGAGGAAGAACCGAAGTTAGATCCAGAGGAAGAACCTAAGTTATCCAGATCCAGAGGAAGAACCGAAGTTAGATCTAGAGGAAGATCCCAAGTTAGAACCGGAAGATCCCAAGTTAGATCTTAGATCTAGAGGAAGATCCCAAGTTAGAACCGGAAGATCCCAAGTTAGATCTAGAGGAAGAACCTAAGTTAGATCCAGAGGAAGAACCGAAGTTAGATCTAGAGGAAGATCCCAAGTTAGAACCGGAAGATCCGAAGTTAGATCTAGAGGAAGAACCGAAGTTAGATCTAGAGGAAGATCCCAAGTTAGAACCGGAAGATCCGAAGTTAGATCCAGAGGAAGAACCGAAGTTAGATCTAGAGGAAGATCCCAAGTTAGAACTGGAAGATCCGAAGTTAGATGTAGAGGAAGATCCCAAGTTAGAACCGGAAGATCCGAAGTTAGATCTAGAGGAAGATCCCAAGTTAGAACCGGAAGATCCGAAGTTAGATCCAGAGGAAGAACCGAAGTTTGATCCAGAAGAAGATCCCAATCTAGAACTGGATGATCCCAAGTTAGATCTAGAGAAAGATCCCAAGTTAGAACCGGAAGATCCGAAGTTAGATCTAGAGGAAGATCCCAAGTTAGAACCGGAAGATCCGAAGTTAGATCTAGAAGAAGATCCCAAGTTAGAACCGGAAGATCCGAAGTTAGATCTAGAAGAAGATCCCAAGTTAGAACCGGTAGATCCGATGTTAGTTCTAGAGGAAGAATCAAATCTTGCACCAGATGATCCAAGGTTAGATACTGAGGAGGAGCCGAAATTGGAAGTAGAGAATCCCAGGCTTGATCCAGAAAATGAGGATGAACCACTCTGTAAGTCTTGGTATTGGACTTCTGCCTTGAAACCCGACTCGTCATCAGCGCGGTATTTGACGATTCTTAAGGTATTATCGGGCTGGAGGACGGAGTAGGAGCCCACAACAACTCCATTATCCAGAGTTTCCTCGTGTGTCTTCTGGTCGCCTGTCTCGGCCGCGTTCACTTCGTAGCGGTAATTGAAGGACAAGTTTGGATCTGTCCTCACGATCTGTGCTCCATCTGTGATTATTGGTAAGGTGTTGTAGTTCTGTGCCTTAGCTGATGCTGTGGACGCCGTGAAGACTGTGGCCACGGCCAGCACCAAGACCTGGGAAAATATGGCAGGCTTATTAACTAATGCTTTTTTGTTTTTTGAAAATTTTTAATAATTTAAGCATTCAAGATACAGTGAACATTAATTGTCTTTGTATAAGGACAACGTCCATTGTAACAATATCAAGTTCATCATTTATATTACCAAGTTACTTTAATATAGATAAAGAGCAGTTATTTTAGGAGTTTGAAACCGTCCACACAAATTTCTTCAGAGCGGGGTTGGAAGATTTATTTTTATTTACTCAGGAAGATACGAGTTTATATATTCACGGTAACTATTTAATTTTTGTTTTACGTGTTAATACAGTATTCCCATCTATCATACCAGAAGGACGAACCCGAATACATGAGCCCAGTGAGACAAGTAGAAGAGCAATACGCAAAGTGACTCTAACCTGAGTAATGTTCAAGAGCTTTAGAAGATCGTATTCAATTGATTTTTAGCAATTTAAGAGAAGAAAAATTCACTGAAGATACCAAATGTAGAACAGATCCGCAGTGGATGAAAGAGATCCTCATCTGGATCATGACAAAAACAAAACACAGAAAAATACGAGCTACTGGATGTACAGATGAACCTGTAGCGCTCAGTATAGACAAGACCAAGACAATAGTGTGGAAGCTTATAGGGGAGGCCTTCGTTCAGGTGGAGAATACTACAACCTTATAATTATGTTTATCATATACATGTGAGTGTGTGTGTGTGTGTGTTTACACACACACACACACACACACACACATACATATATATATATATATATATATATATATATATATATATATATATATATATATATATATATATATATATATATATATATATATATATATATATATAGATATATATGGAGTTCAGAAGATGAATGCTTCTATAATGAAAACAGATAAACTTGATGGTCACAATTGATTTTTCCACAATTAAGTCCAATCACTTCCATGAACAACAGAAACTTCAATTAAGAAATTATCCACTATGGTGAGAGGAGTGACACAGTGAAGAACAATCATCTAATACAGAATCACTTTTGTCATCTGTTAATTTCTGCAAACAACAAAATACCATTAACTGTTAGTATAGTTTCGCCTGCACAAAAGCTACACCAGGACGTGTTTCACATCCAGTATTGTGTCTTACCTGAGCTGCCATCATCAAAATGAGGAAGACTGGAGAAGTGTGAAGCAGGTGAGAGGCGCCTTCTTTTTATACCTGCCTGGGTCGAAGTCATGTGACTGACCAGGAGCCACGTGATTGGTCGGCGGTGTAAAGAAGGCTGGTGGGTGTTGACGAAAGTAGAAACTGGTGCCCAGATGTTCAGTCAGGTTTTGAACGGTAACTTGATACTAGCGTAAGGGAACTGCACTCATCATCATCATCATCATCATCATCATTAGAAGTTGTAGTAGTAGTAGTACTAGTACTTAATAAACAAATTAATTTATTCGTATTAACATGTAAGTTCATTGTGATGTAAGGGTTAATGTGTTGTACTGGCACTCCTCACTAGTGCAGTCAAGGACGCTTGACAATAGTATCTCATGGTAATAACTCAGTGTTTGTTTGTGTGTGTGTATAAACATATTACCAGTTATACTCAATCGGTAAACTGACCAAATTTGACCCAATTAATAACTAACTTATATCTATGTAGTTATCAAACACATCACAATCTATTAAATACCATCATATTCTATTTGTTAATTACCTCAGTAAATAATTAAGCATTATCAAATTAAATGCTTTATTATTATTACTAAAAGTTATTTTCTCTGAGGTGCTTTAGTACTTATAACCTTCGTTAGTAAACTGGGATTTGGATACTATGGGTGAGTCGGGGCCTCATTCACACGGTGGTCTGGAAACCTCACAGTGTCCTTGTGACACACGAGGTGTTGGAGCTGACACACTGAGCCTCTGTTAGTCTGTGTGTGTTGGTGTTGCTCACTACCCCAGCCCGACGTACTCTGTAGGCTGCTGCTACAAACTACAGCTGGCGTACGGTTGCTGATTCACCACCCCGCCTCACTCTCTGTACTATCGATGGTGACTACAAAAGATAGGTACTGCTGGCTGGTTGCTGCAGATGGGTACTGCTGTCTGGTGACTGCTGATGGGTACTGCTGCCTGGTGACTGCTGATGGGTACTGCTGGCTGGTGACTGCTGATGGGTACTGCTGGCTGGTGACTGCTGATGGGTACTGCTGCCTGGTGACTGCTGATGGGTACTGCTGTCTGTTGACTGCTGATGGGTACTGCTGCCTTGTGGCTACTGATGGGTATTGCTGCCTGGTGACTGCTGATGGGTACTGCTGGCTGGTGACTGCTGATGGGTACTGCTGGCTGGTGACTGCTGATGGGTACTGCTGGCTGGTGACTGCTGATGGTACCGCTGGCTGGTGATGACTGCTGGTGGGTACTGCTGGCTGGTGGCTGCTGATGGGTACCGCTGCCTGATGACTGCTGATGGGTACTGCTGGCTGGTGACTGCTGATGGTTGTGCTGGCTGGTGGATGCTGATGTGGGTGCTGCTGGCTGATGACTGCTGATGGGTACTGCTGGCTGGTGACTGCTGGTGGGTACTGCTGGCTGGTGGATGCTGATGGGTACCGCTGCCTGATGACTGCTGATGGGTACTGCTGGCTGGTGACTGCTGGTGGGTACTGCTGGCTGGTGGATGCTGATGGGTACTGCTGGCAGTTCTCCTGGGGAAAGATATAGCTACTAAGTGCAAAAAAGTGTATACAATCTTAATATGTTAGCTATCTTCCCATTAGAGATAAAGTGTTGTGCCATTTCACACATAGTGTGCTTGGACATGTCCCTAAAGGGTTTTACCTTCACACTGTCGAGGACGTAGTGCTCAAGTGTGTGGCCATATGTCTGGCCACACACTTAACATCTAGGTTTGTTCACATCTGCTTGAGGAACGTACTGCCAGAGGTACTTATATCCTAATCTTAGTCTAGCTGTTACAACATCTTGCAGTCTAGTGATCTTGTTTCTTGCTCCATATTCATGGATTGACCATTTCCTGTTTGCACTTGTCTGCTTGCGTCAAATTCATCAACAAGTTCTTTCCTGATTACAGTTTTAAAGTTTCTTTTTGACAGACCCAGACTGTATTCAGCAGTGTCTTTGTTAGACGCGAGTTTGGCGAGGGCATCAACTCTGTCATGTTCTCTGAGGCCTATGTGAGAGGGGATCCACAACAGTTTAATCTTGACACCCAGGTCAACAAGGTACGCATATCTGTGTTTGGCTTTGGAGACAAGCGCGTGACAACTTAAGTTGAGGGTGCCAAGGGCAAGTAGTGAGGATAGAAAATCAGTGATGATGAGACTGTCACTGACAGTGGTTTCAACAAATTTACTGAATGTGAGTACGACAACTAATTTAGTTTGTAGAATGGATACCCAGTTGTTAATTCTAACTCCTTTCTCAATTGTATTACCGTTAGGTTGAGTCACAACGACAGCACTTCCAGCCCTTCCACAGGCAATGTTAGAGATCCGTCAGTGTAGAATAAATCACTGGTTCCCAAACTGGGGGCCATGGCCCCCCCAGCAAAATTTAGGGGGCCATAAGCTGAGGCTATGTACACATAAAAATCCCAAGCCCCACCACACTAGAACAGCCAGTCAGCAGCTGAGCCAGCCAGAGATATGGATTGGGAGAGGGGGGCCATGGATAAGGATCATATATGAAAAGTGGGTAATGATCAGAAAAAGTTTGGGAACCACTGGTAGATGGTCTGTGTGATATTATCATCAGTCTGTAGGGTGTGTATGTGTTCAAGAGCTTTCACTTTAGCAGTATGTTAGAGATAAAGACTGTGCGTAATTCTTTAGGCGAGTATGTCGGTATTGTGATATCGAAGGGAACTGTCCGCCAGGGTGGTAGAAAGCCCTGTTGTGTCTCAACTTTGCACAGATGGTCTTGTCCAAACATCTTCATGGTAGCTGTAGTTTGGATCCATTTAGATTCACTAGTCCCATGATTCATATATTCTAGCAATTTTAGGAAACAATGTTATCAGGATCACCACGTAAAAGCCTCAGGACTATCATGAGGTTGACTTCAATTATTCTACCTCCGACACTGGGTATACCTAGTTCTTTCTTCATATTGAGTACTTTAGTGCTCATGGGACAGACTAGGATAATTCTGAGGGCTTTACTTTGCATTTTTCGAGTTTGTCAATGATACTGGATACTGCTCGCTGTCGCCTGCTGCTGCAACTGGATACTGCTGGCTGATTGCTGCTGATGCTACTGGATTCTCCATACCGGCGCGTACTCCCTGCTGATGCGTGCTCCCTGCTGATGTGTGCTCCATGCTGATGTATGCTCCCTGCTGATGTGTGCTCCCTGCTGATGTGTGCTCCCTGCTGATGTATGCTCCCTGCTGATGTGTGCTCCCTACTGATGTGTGCTCCCTGCTGATGTGTGCTCCCTGCTGATGTATGCTCCCTGCTGATGTGTGCTCCCTGCTGATGTATGCTCCCTGCTGATGTGTGCTCCATGCTGATGTGTGCTCCTTGCTGATGGGTACTCCTTGCTTGTCCCTTTGAAGTCTGATTTAAGGACCATTTATTTTCGTATTACTTTCACACACCTGGCTCTTAGGGCACTTTGTAGTACATATATGATGTTAAATTAAAAAAACCCATTATATTAATAATTAGAGCATCATTTACGATGGTAGGAACTCCTGATCCCATCAGGATTTTCAAGGACCAAAATGGCAATTCCCGTCAGGTGTCTATGAAACACAAAATCTTGAAAAATAATCACTTTATTAGGCAGTGAAAGCTTTATCTGGCCTGGGTTATAAAATTATTTTTTTCTTAGTAATGAAAAAAAAATGAATTTCTTTGCAAAATATTTTCTTTTATTCTTTAGCACTACGAATTAAAAAAAATAGAATGTACAAGTATTTCAAAACTATGGGAAGTGTTATGTGTATGCATCTGTAAGCTATTGTACATGTCAAGACTTTATGCATGATATTCACGGAAGCAGTTTTTCGCTGCATTACAACAGAGGAGAATGCCACAGTGGCTACATATTGATGTTGGCCTTGATTCTACACATTTCTTTGAACACACTTCACTTCTTCCTTCTTTGCAAGGAACTGAGGCCAATGGACACCAGTGTTGGTGAGTCTGACTGAGGAAGGAACACTGTACTCAACTTTCCGCCGTTTAGCAGAGCATGGGGTACATCGATTCTTGGAAAATATGAGAAGTCCTTTTGGAAGTTCCCTTCGAAAATCCGATAACCTGTCAGAGGTGTAAACATCAGCTTGTCTATACTCAACATAGGCATTGATAACACTCATGTCAAGCAGGCCAAAGAAGATTCTATGCCACCATTTCATACTCTTTATGTTTGCTCCATACAACTGCCGAAGCATGTCGTGCTTATCGACACCTCCCATATTGGCATTATAGTCCTTCACCACTTGGAGACATGTGATTACCGACTTGGTTCAATTTTTTCTTTTCACTGTACAGCTGTGGTTGAAACTCCATGGTAATTAGAGACAAAGTGAGCTGGTTTATTATTCATCCTCTTACATGCAGTTATTCCACTGGATGTAGATCTGTAGTCAAAGTTCCCTCTCTTTAGGGTCTTGTCAATTGCGAAGGGAGGGAAATCCTTTCTCGAATATCTGATTGTACCGCATGCTAGAATCTTTTGGGCTTGCAAGATTTCCATTAAGGGAATTGAAGAAAAATAGTTATCAAAATAACTTTGTGGTTTTTACCATTTAGATGTTGAGTTAGTTTGTAAACTACATCTCCTCCTAAAGGCCTAAACCCAGTTCCTTTCTCTTCGTGGTTGTAATATCCTTTTCATTAATTTTGCCAGTGTATATTTCAAACTTGAAGATATAGCCATCACTGTCTGCAAGACACCACAATTTATAGCCTCTCTTGATGGGTTTCATGGGGTTGTACTGCTTCAAGCTGCTTCTCCCTTTGAAGCGAATCATGGATTCGTCAACACAGAGATGTTCACCAGGGGCTCTTTGCTCTCTGAACTTGGCATTCAAATAATCAACAAGAGGCCTAACTTTGAATAGTTTATCCTTATGCTTTGGATCCATTTTAGTATTGTCATTCAAATGTAGATTACCAAGAATTTGGATGAACCTATCACCAACCATAGCTACTTGAATTGGGTGGACATTCATATCATCCCGTCATCCAATAATGGCGCACTGAAGGAAGTCGATGGTACCCCCATCATAATGTTAAATCCTAGAAAAACATAAAGCGTATTTTTTTTTATACTTGCTGGTTTACCTTTCTGAACACTGTACATAGTTGATTGAAAACAAATTTCATCAATCAGTTTCTCATCAAAGAGTGTAAACAATGCTTGAAGACCAGTACTAGCTGATAACTTATCTTCTGTGACTGGCTGAAACTCTATGTTTCGTGCTGCTTCGGGTTTTTTCATCCATCGTCTTCGTGAGTTGTTTTGTTCAGTTTCACATGGTATATCTTCATCTTCTTTGGAATATGTAGTTTCCTTGTCACCTTCGTCTTCATTTCCAATGTAAATCACACAATGCCGGTACGGTTTTGAGCACGATCTAGTGCATAATATGGCTGCTGTTGTAAAACTGGAACATCATCATCACAGTCTGATTCCACATCTGTGTCATTTTCAAAATCTGAGGGCAGCTCCTGTAGTACTTGTAAGTAACTTGTCACTTCAAATCCTTTGGAACGCGATGCCATATGTGGAATACAATACAATTGTCACTTGGGTGGAAAAAGTCTAATTTCTAATATTTTTTAACTGAAGAAAGCTTGAAAAGTACCTAGTTTATTGCAATCACTAGTATATATTTCATTTTTTTTTTAAATATAAAGCTGTACAAGGTGTGGTCATATGTAGAATAGTATAAAGTACAAACAAAGGTTGTTTTTAGGTTGCACAACACAAAAACTTGACAAATCTGACCTAAACTTATCATCCTTACTCAACCTTTTCGTGAAATAACATATACAAAAAACAAAAAAACATAGTTTTTGAAGTATCTGGGCATGTTTAGATATCATTTACTTAGCCTGAAATGCAGTTCGTGCAATGCTAAACAACTGCCTTAAGTTATATTGCTGAACTTCAGAATTCAAGACGAAGATAAAAATTCTTATAGTTATCCGTAAGCCAAACTGTATGAGAAAGAAGAAACCTTACCCAGGGCCAGGAGTTACCAAGACCAGTTTGATAACAGACACAGCAGAGTAATCCTTGGGGAAAGGCGGTGTGGTCAACGAAAACCCATGCAGAGTAGAGTTCCAGATAGGTGGGATCCTAGGAAGAGAGAATATAATGTGGAGAAAACCATCCAGTATCAATAACATCATGATGCCATATAGTATTCACCTATGCGCCTGATGGGAATTCACAGTAAGGGGATCCTGGTGGGTACTGACCCCACCCATACACTCTTCTTATAATTATGTCAATGTAAAGTTATCCCAAATCAACAAGTTATCCATAAATGTAACATATTTATGAATATATTTACAAAACTTAGTGTTGAAACTCACCTTTGTTATGTTGATGTGGGGGTCTAAAGTGGAGGTAGTTTTTCTGCTGTTCCCACCTCAAAATGCTTGTTTTGATCTGCCACATGTTCAGCAACAAGGAGCGATTGTTGCTAGATGTCTCTCTAAAAACGTTTCTGGGTGGGAACTGAGGGTCCCCACAGGCTTCAGTTGCATCTAAGTGGATCCCTTAGACTTTTATGCCGACAAATAAGAGGTGGGACCTAGAATTCCCAACAGGCTTCAACGGGTTATAGTGTACTCCCTGCTGATGGGGACTCCCTGGGGATAGATACTCCATGCTGATGAATACTACCTGCTGATGGATAGTCCCTGCTGATTGTGTACTCCCTGCTGATGGGGACTCCCTGCTGATGGTGACTTCCTGCTGATGTATACCGCCGTCTGACAGGTAAAGTCCCACTCGAACGTATTACTGGTGTACTTAGTTTACGTTAGTTTTATCTTGTGTCATCATGAAGTTTGGTCAAAGTTTATACAGGCATATCCAGGGTAGAGTTTATGTTGAAATACGAGTTTCTTATCTATCTTCCAATAAAATCCCTGTAGTTTACTGTGATACCGTAAATGTAATAAGTGCATTAATTCTCTACATATTCTAGTTACTGTATTGGCTATACATCGTAATTTTTAAATTAACTTTTCAACGTAATTATTGGATTTTCTCGAATCTGTAATTATCATGTTACCTTTGTGGTTTCTCTATCTTTATATCGTCATGGAATACATTGTTTTTGGAAGGCCGTCAATATGCTCACTTTAAACCACAGTATTGTTACCGTATCTTATATGTAAGGCAAGTGGTAAAGGTACTGTGCTCTGTAGGGGATCACTTATTACCTATCATTGTTCAGTCCTTCACGACGAGACTGCTTTTTACGTTAACGTTGATGTATATTTATTTAGTTATTGGTAGATAGGTGGGTAGTTAGATAGACATAGGTAATGTAGTGAAGCTACCTTCGAGCTCTCCTGACTTTCCCGCGTGAGGCAGGGCTCTGCAGGTGGTGAGGTGTTGCGCATGAGCCGAGTATCGACTCTACCGAGTTGCCATCCGTACAAATTCTTCTCTAATGTTGCTATTTTACTTATGTCTTATGCATTGATATTATTTTACGTTGAAGAACAAAAAATATGATGCTCGTTTATAAATTGTAAGGTAGATGAGTTTTGATTATTTAATCGAAATATTTTTGCTGGCAGAAGGACTGAAGTTTCTATTCTGTGCTGTAAAGTTGTTTTATGAAGAAGATTGAATTTTGTTTATTCAGATTAAACTTTAGTTAAATTATTTTAGTATTTATTAAATAATTAACTAACTGCTACTGTCGAAAGACATAAAACAAAAAAAAAAGCAATAGGAGCGGAAGGGAGGGCTGATATAAAGGACTAATTGGTAACTCTCCTCAGTCCAGCAGCAGGATCCAGCTGCTTCAAAACGCACCAATGTCAAAATGGCGCAAGTGAAGTCCACCCGGATAAGTCTAATATTATGGGTGTTTTGTGTGTGCGTGTGCATCGCGAGTGCCAAGGGGGACACCACTAGTGATAGAGTAAACCCCGAAAACCAACACGATGGCCAAACAACCACAGTGCACCACAAGTCTACCGCCACCCAAAAAAAACACAGTCCAAAGCCACTGCTAACGACTGGCGATGTTGATGAGCAAGAAGGCGTATACAGCCCCTCAAGTAGCAGTAGCAGTAACATTAAGACGAGCTCGGACTGGCAGGGCAGCAGTAGTCAAGGCAGTAGCAATGGGGGGTCGGTGAAAGAGGCAGCCAACAAGAGGAACATCAGCAGTCAGGGCAGTGGAGCAACTGCCCAGGAACTGAGATCAACTACTTCCCTGGCGGGGAACCTCCTGTTGTTGCTCATCTCCGTCGTCATCGCTGGTTCTCTCTTCGTTACGCTCCTCTGCTTCATACACAAGTGGAAGGAGAACATGGGCACAGCGTGAGTACTCCATCTTGAGTGTTATTCCCATGTAGCTGCCCGTACCGTACCTAGCAACAAAGAGTTCGCAGTAGCTTGTTACACCCCCTACAGTCAACCCACTGGAAATATAAAATTAATATCCTCATGGGACTCCAGGGACCTCGCATAACATTATGCACGAACAACAAAGAAAGGGTATGGTGATCGTTCGTGTGTGGATGAGTTAATACGACTGCCGATCAATTACCACAGTTACCCATGGCATTAATAGTTGTATGAGTATAGATTATGTCTTTTATCAGTTACGTTTATATACAACATGAACATATAAATCTGACAGAGAAACAACTTTAAAGGGAAACTGACCCAACGTCCTCTAGGGTTTTTTCTCATCCCCAAAACAAAAATTTCGATTCAGTCAAAGGGTTAACGACGCCATAGTGAGAGAATGAATGAAATTAGCTGACATGTTTCTGTAGGAGGGACAATAATTACCCGTCTGTGTCCTGGGAATAAAGTGGTGAAATTGCGTAAAACGGTGTAATTCATTCTAAGGGTGTTTACCTAGTGTGTGTGTGTGTGTGTGTTGGTTAGTTTATGGGTGTGTGTGTGTGTGTGTGTTGGTTAGTTTATGGGTGTGTGTGTGTGTGTGTGTTGGTTAGTTTATGGGTGTGTGTGTGTGTGTGTTGGTTGGTTTATGGGTGTGTGTGTGTGTGTGTGTTGGTTGGTTTATGTGTGTGTGTGTGTGTGTGTAGGTTGGTTTATGGGTGTGTGTGTGTGTGTGTGTTGGTTGGTTTATGGGTGTGTGTGTGTGTGTGTTGGTTAGTTTATGGGTGTGTGTGTGTGTGTGTGTTGGTTTATGGGTGTGTGTGTGTGTGTGTGTGTGTGTGTGTGTGTGTTGATTTGGTTTATGGTGTGTGTGTGTGTGTGTGTTGGTTTATGGGTGTGTGTGTGTGTGTGTGTTGGTTAGTTTATGGGTGTGTGTGTGTGTGTGTGTGTTGGTTTATGTTTGTGTGTGTGTGTTGGTTAGTTTATGGGTGTGTGTGTGTGTGTGTTGGTTGGTTATGGGTGTGTGTGTGTGTTAGTTTATGGGTGTGTGTGTGTGTGTGTGTTGGATTTATGGGGTGTGTGTGTGTGTGTGTGTTGGTTGTTTATGTTTGTGTGTGTGTGTGTTGGTTAGTTTATGGGTGTGTGTGTGTGTGTGTTGGTTAGTTTATGGGTGTGTGTGTGTGTGTGTGTGTTGGTTGGTTTATGGGTGTGTGTGTGTGTGTGTTGGTTGTTTATGGGTGTGTGTGTGTGTGTTGGTTAGTTTATGGGTGTGTGTGTGTGTGTGTTGGTTAGTTATGGGTGTGTGTGTGTGTGTGTTAGTTTATGGGTGTGTGTGTGTGTGTGTGTGTTGGTTAGTTTTGGGGTGTGTGTGTGTGTGTGTGTTGGTTAGTTTATGGGGTGGTGTGTGTGTGTGTGTGTGTTGGTTTATGGGTGTGTGTGTGTGTGTGTGTGTTGGTTGTGGGTGTGTGTGTGTGTGTGTGTGTTGGTGCTGGTTATTTACGGGCGTGTGTGTGTGTTGGTTATTACGGTGTGTGTGTGTGCTGGTTAGTTTATGGGCATGTGTGTGGTTGGTTAGTTTATGGGCGTGCGTGTGTGTGTGTTGGTTGGGGTTTATGGTGTGTGTGTGTGTGTTGGTTAGTTTATGGGTGTGTGTGTGTTATTTATGGTGTGTGTGTGTGTGTGTTGGTTATTTGATGGGCGTGTGTGTGTGTTGGTTAGTTTATGCGTGTGCGGCTGGTTAGTTTTATGGGTGTGTGTGTGTGTGCTGGTTAGTTTATGGGTGTGCGTGTGTGTTTGTTGTTTATGTGTGTGTGTGTGTGTTGGTTATTTATGGGTGTGTGTGTGTGTGTGTGTTGGTTAGTTTATGGGTGTGTGTGTGTTGGTTAGTTTATGGTGTGTGTGTGTGTGTTGGTTAGTTTATGTGTGTGTGTGTTGGTTATTTATGGGTGTGTGTGTGCTGGTTAGTTTATGGGTGTGTGTGTGTGTGTGTGTGTTAGTTTGATGGGTGTGTGTGTGTGTGTTGGTTAGTTTATGGGTGTGTGTGTGTGTTGGAGCTAGTTTATGTGGGTGTGTGTGTGTGTGTGTGTGTGTGTTATTTATGGGTGTGTGTGTGTGTGTGTGTGTATATAGTTTATGGTGTGTGTGTGTGTGTTGGTTATTTATGGGTGTGTGTGTGTGTGTGTGTGTGTTAGGTTTATATGTGTGTGTGTTGGTTAGGGGTTTATGGGTGTGTGTGTGTGTGTGTTGGTTAGTTTTATGGGTGTGTGTGTGTGTGTGTGTGTTATTTATGGGTGTGTGTGTGTGTGTGTTGGTTAGTTTATGGGTGTGTGTGTGTGTGTGTGTTGCTATTTATAAGTGTGTGTGTGTGTGTTAGTTTATGGGTGTGTGTGTGTGTGTGTGTGTTGGTTATTTATGGGTGTGTGTGTGTGTTATTTATGGGTGTGTGTGTGTTGGTTAGTTTATGGGTGTGTGTGTGTGTGTTAGTTTATGGTGTGTGTGTGTGTGTGTGTGCTGGTTAGCCTATGGGTGTGTGTGTGTAAGCTTGGTTAGTTTATAAGGTGTGTGTGTGTGTGTGTAAAGTTGGTTAGTTTGTGTGTGTGTGTGTGTGTGTTGAAGGTTTATGGGTGTGTGTGTGTGTGTTGGTTAGTTTATGGGTGTGTGTGTGTGTGTGTTAATATGGGTGTGTGTGTGTGTGTTAGTTTGATGGGTGTGTGTGTGTGTGTGTGTGTGTTAGTTTATGGGTGTGTGTGTGTGTGTGTGTGTTAGTCTATGGGTGTGTGTGTGTGTGTGTGTGTGTGTGTTGGTTAGTTTATGGGTGTGTGTGTGTGTGTTGGTTAGTTTAGTTTGTGTGTGTGTGTTGGTTAGTTTATGGGTGTGTGTGTGTGTGTGTGTGTTAGTTTTATGGTGTGTGTGTTATTTATGTGTGTGTGTGTGTGTGTGTGTTAGTTTATGGGTGTGTGTGTGTGTGTGTGTGTGTGTTGGTTAGTTTATGGGTGTGTGTGTGTGCTGGTTAGTTTATGTTTGTGTGTGTGTGTTGGTTAGTTTATGGGTGTGTGTGTTGGTTAGTTTATGGGTGTGTGTGTGTTGGTTATTTGGCGGGTGTGTGTGTGTGTGTGTGTTGGTTAGTTTATGTTTGTGTGTGTGTGTTAGTTTATGGGTGTGTGTTGGTTAGTTTATGGGTGTGTGTGTGTGTGTGTTGGTTAGTCGATGGTGTGTGTGTGTTGGTTAGTTTATGGGTGTGTGTGTGTGTGTGTGTGTGTGTTGGTTAGTTTATGGGTGTGTGTGTGTGTGTGTTGGTTAGTTTATGTGTGTGTGTGTGTGTTGGTTATTTATGGGTGTGTGTGTGTGTTGGTTATTTATGGGTGTGCGGTGTGTGTGTGTTGGTTATTTATGCTCAGGTGTGTGTTGGTTAGTTTACGGGTGTGTGTGTGTGTGTGTTGGTTAGTTGCCTATGGGTGTGTGTGTGTGCTGGTTATTGGCGGGTGTGTGTGTGTGTGTGTGTTGGTTATTTATGGGTGTGTGTGTGTGTGTGTTGGTTAGTTTATGTTTGTGTGTGTGTGTTAGTTTATGGTGCGTGTGTTGGTTAGTTTGGCGGGTGTGTGTGTGCGTTGGTTAGTTTATGGGTGTGTGTGTTGGTTAGTTTACGGGCGTGTGCGTGTGTGGTGTGTGTGCTGGTTAGTTTATGGGTGTGTGTGTGTGTTGGTTAGTTTATGTGTGTGTGTGTGTGTTGGTTAGTTTATGGGTGTGTGTGTGTGTTGGTTAGTTTACGGGTGTGTGTGTGTTGGTTAGTTTATGTTTGTGTGTGTGTGTTGGTTAGTTTACGGGTGTGTGTGTTGGTTAGTTTGGCGGGTGTGTGTGTGTGTGTTGGTTAGTTTATAAGTGTGTGTGTGTGTGCTGGTTAGTTTATGTTTGTGTGTGTGTGTTGGTTATTTATGCGGTGTGTGTGTGTGTTGGTTAGTTTATGGGTGTGTGTGTGGTGGGTGTTTAGTCGGCGGTGTGTGTGTGTGTGTGCTGTTGAATATGGGTGTGTGTGCGCTGGTTAGTTTATGGGTGTGTGTGTGTGTGTGTTGGTTAATATTATGGGTGTGTGTGTGTGTGTGTGTTGGTTGGGCTTTATGCTTGTGTGTGTGTGTTAGTTTGGCGGGTGCGCTATTAGTCGATGGGCGTGTGTGTGTGTGTGTGTTGGTTAGTTTATGGGTGTGTGTGTGTGTGTGTTGGTTAGGTTTATGGGCGTGTGTGTGTGTGTGTGTGTGTGTGTTGGTTAGTCGGCGGCGTGTGTGTGTGTTGGTTAGTTTATGTGTGTGTGTTGGTTATTTATGGGTGTGTGTGTGCGTGTTGGTTAGTTTATGGGTGTGTGTGTGTGTGTGTTGGTTAGTTTATGTTTGTGTGTGTGTGTTGGTTAGTTTATTAAGTGTGTGTGTGTGTGTGTTGGTTAGTTTATGGTGTGTGTGTGTGTGTGTTGGTTAGGTTTACGGGTGTGTGTGTGTGTGGTTGGTTAGTTTATGGGTGTGTGTGTGTGTGTGTGTTGGTTAGTTTATGTTTGTGTGTGTGTGTGTGTTGAATGGCGGTGTGTGTGTTGGTTAGTTTATATGTGTGTGTGTGTGTGTTGGTTGGTTTATGGGTGTGTGTGTGTGTGTGTTGGTTATTTGATAAGTGTGTGTGTGTGTGTGCGCTGGTTAGTTTATAAGTGTGTGTGTGTGTTGGTTAGTTTATGTGTGTGTGTGTGTTGGTTAGTTTATGGGTGTGTGTGTGTGTGTTGCCAGGTTTATGGTGTGTGTGTGTGTGTGTTGTTGTTTATGTTTGTGTGTGTGTGTTGGTTAGTTTATGGGTGTGTGTGTGTGTTGGTTAATGGGTGCGTGTGTGTGTGTGTTGGTTAGGTTTATGGGTGTGTGTGTGTGTGTTGGTTAGTTTATGGGCGTGTGTGTGTGTGTGTGTTGGTTGGTTTGCTCAGGTGTGTGTGTGCTGGTTAG